TAAAATAAATAAAATCTTTTATATTTATATATATATATATACAATTCGTCATTCTTGACAATGAAAATAATTAATTCAACTCATCATCAATTGCACGATAGATTAATTTAGAACACGCATATATGTATATAGACAGACATACGATATCAAAAATCTTTTATTGAAATTTCGATATGAAAAGCGTATTAGTTCAGAAAAGTGTCAATCAAGTGATTCTAAATATTCTTTTTAGGTCTGAAATAACGAATGGTCCAACTAACGAACTTGATTGAAAGCGCATAACGAACGAAATTAGTCCAATGAAGTTATAGAGTTTTCAAGGGAAATTCCATTATTTACAGACTCATTAGAATCAATTTTTTTTTCTTTTTCTAAAAGACGAATCTCTATTTGTGTGTGTTTTTCAAAGAAAATTTTTATTATCCCACGCACATAAATATCGTTATTGTTACGATTTTTTTTTTTTAATTAGAAGAAAATTGGATACACGTGATATAGAATCAAATAGGTGTAATGTTAACACAACAAAACCAATTTTTACAAATGGAAAGAAAAGGTCACGAGTATTTCTGGAATTGTGACATTCATGCTTTTACACTCAGAAAAGAAAAGTTTCATCAAGAAATTAAAGTCAAATGCTTCATATAATAAAATTTAATGAAGAATTATTATGTGAAAAAATAATATTATAAAAAAGATAAATAATAAAAATAATATTATTTATAATTATTGTTATGATAAATTAAAAATAATCGTAAATTTCAATAAAAATTAATTAACTGACTTAATATTAATTAAAGTTTTTATCGGGAAACAAATTTTTCTATTAAATAATTCAATAATTTTTCAAATAAAAAAACGACCATTTTTGAAACAGAAACAAAAATGATAAAAAAAACCTCTTCTTTATTTTAATGTTATTGATTATCTTTTAATATTTTTCGTATATAGATGCACACGCTTTTGTCATAACCTATTTTATGTGAAGTGTTTTATAGTGGTGAGTTTAAACTTCAAATAAAAAAAAAAAAAAACTTTATCAGATGAAAATGTTGAAAGCTTTTAGAAAAAAAGGGGGTTCAATCCAATAAAATTTAGCAGTACGTCATTTTAAGGTCAAAGTTCAAAATACGAAAAGTCTATCTTGCTGAAATGAATGATGGAATAGCTTTTTAGTATCTGGGTCACTTTTATTAATATAAATATAAATATATATATAAATTTGTTTTTAGTTCATCCCGCACACAAAAATACGAAATGAAAAATGTATATATATATATATATTTCAACTAATTTAAAATGATAAATACCCTCGTATGAACGAATAACCTCATGTAAAAAGATTATATTATCTGAATCAATAAAACATTGTAATAAAAAAAAAAAAAAGAAATTTAAATAAATAAAATAATAAATTACTTCTCCCATAGACAATATAAAGTTAAATTTAATATGCTGTGTTGAAAATTATGCGTCAATATTATAAATTATGAATAAAATAAATTTTAATATCATGCCTAATAATTTATATTTCAATATTTCAATTAGGTGCAAAGAGAAAGAAATCATTTTTTTGCCACGGTCAATTTTTTCGCAAATTAGATAATTTAAAAAAAAAAATATCCCCAATTTTCGATCATTGAATAACGAATAATTATTATTTGAATTATTTATTTATATTTTTTTGTAAATTATGTCAGCCATTTTAAAAACACAATGTTCAATTGAATTTGCCCCATATAAAAAAAAATTGAAATAGATCTCTAAAACAAGGATGTCAAACTATATTTAATTAAAATACGAAATAGACATTATTTTGTAAAAAAAAAAACACACACAAATTACCCACTGAATTAGGGTCAAATAAATATGGATAAAAACAATGTTTGACATCTATTAGTATCAATATATTATGGCAAACCAAACTAATTATAAATAATGGCTTTTTCTCTTATAAAAAGTAATGATCAAATTTATTAAATTAGAATTATAAATAATATAGGGTCAGTTAGGGTAAATGGGGACAGGGGGTATATGGGGACAAGAGGTTTTGGAGCTTAATTTACAATTTTAAAATTAAGTTCAACGTCAATATTTTAACCTCAGATCACCTGCAAGAGATATAGAGTATTGCCAAGCTTTTATCTTGACAATTGGCAGCAAGATAAAAAAAAGTTATCGCTCAATGCATAAAAACTTGAAAATCAAAGTCAAACTGTTTCAGTATTTTGTCTCGTATTTCAAAGAAAACAGACTTCAAAATCATACCAAATTTTTTTCTTATTCCTTATGACTCCCATAAAAGAAATTCACTTGAATTTTTGATTTTTGTTAATTTGGTTAATAATGGCAAGCTGTCCCCTATTTACTCTGAGTTTTCAAATTTTTGGGGTAAATGGGGACAGCTTGTCATTATTAACCAAATTAACAAAAATCAAAAATTCAAGTGAATTTCTATTATGTGAGTTATAAGGAATAAGATAAAAATTTGGTATAATTTTTAAGTCTGTTTTTTTTCAAATGCAAGACAAAATACTGAAATGAAAAAAAAAATTTTTAAATAAATAAAATTCAATTGGTTCAACTATTATATATCTACTACAAATTTTTTTCAAGTTTTTTCATCCCTTAATACAGTAATATACTTAAGGAAACTTTTTTCTTAAAACTTTCTTAGAAACTATGTTGTCTCCATTTACCCCGAATTTTAAGAAATTTTCTAAATTTTGGGGTAAATGGGGACAGTCAGTTTCATGCGTTTATAGCTTATCTAAATTTTTTTCTGCTGCATAAAATTAATCCTGGGAATATAAATAACAACTTAAAAAAATATAAACCCGCAAATATTACCTTTTAAAGAAAGAAACTTACATAATTTGTGAAAAATAGCGATTTTATCCCCATTTACCCCAACTGACCCTAATAGTAATGTTATTAATATTATATATTAATAAGTAAAATATTAGTCGGCTTAACAGTAAAAAAAAAAGTTGTCATTTAATTTTATGTAGTTTTTACTTTTATTTACACTCTCACTTTCACTGTCAATGAGAAAATCTTAAAAAAAAAAATAGTTTTCTGCGATAGACAAGCGTAAGTAAAAAGTGTATATTGATTGATAGTAATATTTGATAATAATTTCCTAAAATGCCTCATTATAAGATACTTTTATTTTGCATGCCATTATTTAAGCCTCAACATGACACAGTAAATGCATTTAAATGAAATAATGTCTCTTCTCTATTTGCATAAAATGCAAGACCGCAATCATAGTAACCCTTCTTGACTGGTTTAAATTACTGAGAATTTGAATGCTAATTTAATTATTTTTTTTTTATTTTTATTTTCCAATTGCTAGAAAATAAATTTTTTAAAATTATTTAAATAAATACAAAATCCCAATTGTTGAATAATAACAAATTTGTTAATTATTTGAATATTTTATATTTATTTTTTGGTCTTTGTGATTTAATATTCAGTTTATTTATTATTTTTTTCAAATAAAGAAAAAAAAATAATCTTTTGCAATAAAGTGAGCTCAATTTAGAAATTTTCGAATAATTCAAAGTATAGGTCAAAGCCTCTTATTCATCTCAATGATCGAATCTGTCGCACAGTGAAAGAGCAATTTCAGCTCAATAAACTAGATATGTATCCAGAATCGAGAAAAGTGACTATGTCAAATATATGTAAAACTGCAGAAAAATTCTCTTTGAAATCATCCATATATACACACATATATATATAGTATCAATATATTAGTGGAATTTTTATTATTTATTTATATAAAATACAAAAAAAAAGTATTTGTACCTTAAAAACATATTCTTTTGAGAATATATTAATTATTAATAAATTTCGTTATCTTTTAATTTCCCAGAGTAGAAAAAAAAACTTTTTTTTTTTAACTTCACTGACTTTGTGTGCTTGAAAAATAAAATGAAGACGACAAAAATGTAACAACTTGAATCGAATAAGCGAAACTGTTTTTTTTTTTTTTTTAATTAAAAAAAACTTATTATTTCATTGAATAGATGATATTTTACTCGAATAAACATTTGTTTAATTAGATCGACTATATTTAATGTAAGAAAATAATTTTTTTCCTTTTAAACAACGAAGCTGAAGTACGCAACGTTTATGATAAACGATTTTTAAAGAAATAATTTTCTAAAATGAAAAATTCTATAATTTTTTGCCTAAAAAATATTTCTTGTAGTTTTCATTAATCAAATTATTAAAAAAATATTTTTTAGGCAAAAAATTATAGAATTTTTCATTTTAAAAAATTATTTCTTTAAAAATCGTTTATCATAAACGTTGCGTACTTCAGCTTTGTTTTAAACAATTATTATTTAATGTTAAATCTAAAATTTCTTGCATCAAAAAAGAGAATAAAAAATATAAAAAAATATTGGAAAACCATAAATAAATTTTTTCATAATATTATAAAAATTATTATTTTTTTTTATTTATAGAAAAAATATTTTTAATATTAAATAAATAAAAAATAATATTCAAATATTTATTTTAAAAAATTGAAATGAAAAATTATTTGACATTTTTAATTTTTAAAAAATCACAATAATAATTATTTAATAATTTTGAAAATAAATATTTGTATAATTATTTTTATGTTTCATTCAAATAGAGATTTTTTTAAACAAACTAATTTCATATAATAATCCAAGAAACGTTTCCTACATGCACATAATCAGAAAAAATCCTCTTATAACCCTTTGAAAAAACCAGCACTCATCTCAAAATTCCAAATTCTTCAAAACATATATAATTATAAAATTTGAAGAAAAAAAAAATTGAAAACTCTTTTCTACCCTTTTTTTTTTTAAAAAAAAAAATGTAATAAACCAATCACGCACAGTAATCCTCACTAAGTCGCGAGTCTTGATTATTTTTCTCGATCCCCGTTATGTATAGTCAATAGAAAAACTTTTTGAATCCCCCCTCAAAATCCAGCTCTGGTTAGAATGAGAACTTACGAACTCGAGCTTTATTTTCTCTCTCTTGTCCTTATAATCCAAAACTTCTTGACAAATGACTTCCGCTATATAACCAACGTCCAGTCTGCTTTGTCTCTATCTCGTCATGGGGTCGCTGCAGCGATCAGAGTTCACTGTCAATTCTTGTATATTCTCCCGGTATAAAGTATATAGTAACAAGAAAAAAAAAAATCCTTCACCGTCACGCTAATGAAAGGCCAATTAAAATATAGACCTCACGAAACATACAATTTAGTATAGAAATGCAAATTTTTATTTATATTATTATTTAATTTTTTTTTCTCTTTTTTCTTCTAAATTCCACGTTATCAAAGAAACACGATAACATGCAACGACGTAGGCCGGCTAAGCGTTCAGGCCGCACTGAGCTTGGCCGAGAGAGAGAGACTTCGGTTAAGGGTGAGCGAGCTACCCCTCTGGTTTTCCCACCCCCTCAACATCCAACCAAACCCCCTGCCGGTACGAGTTTTCTCATCTCGCTCACAACCAAATTTTCCCTCTCACTTGTGTGATACATATACATATATATATACGGGGTGATTCGAACTTCACAGAATCCGTGCACGTGCTGCCAAGAGTCGACGATGTTACGTGAGGGATGAAAAGATCACGAGAATAACCCCCCGAGAATATGGGCTAGAGGGTTTTATTTGCATTGAAGGGAAAGGAAAGAAGCAATGCGTGCCTCCCTGGGAGGAGGGTTAAAGAACCAAGTGCGTGAGGGGATTTTTTTTTTTTTTTTTTATATACTCTACACTGGGAGAGCATTCGAGATGATTTCTCTCTCTCTCTCTCTCTCTCTCTCTCTCTGCAAAAAGGGAATCTCTTTCTCTCTTTCTGAAGATCGTTTAACAAATGGAGCAAATCATAATTCCCCTATATCGCACGATTTCTGATATCGGCCTACTACCCTCGAAAAATATATTTTGTGCTATGCTTGATTATAGAATCAATTCGACGGTCACGATCTCCCTCTCTCTTTCGCGGAGGTGTTTCATCGATCTTTGCCAAAAGACATTAATAAACGCAGAGAAAAAAATATATATATATATAAATATTTGTCACAGAGCTAAGTAAATATTTATTTGTTGCAAATAAAAAAAAAATTTTATTTGTGTCAAAAGAAAATTTATTTTTTTTTTTTATAAATAATTATTTTCCTCTCTGAGACAAATATATTTTTATTTAATTTAAAATCAAATTTATATTTGATAAAAAATTTCTCTCCGTGTACGTTTGTGTCTGAAGCATTTTGTTTTTATATCAAAAATCTCATTAAAAAATATATTTGATTTCCATTTATATGAGTTTTTTAAAAGTTGTTTTTCTTTTTTTGTAATATAAGAAATGTTTTTCATTAAGGCTAACACACACACAGAATATCATGTTTTTATAAATTTTTCTTTATCGACATAAAAGAACATATTTTCCAATATATTAATATTAATAGAATCAATCCAATTTTTTTTTTTTTTGCTTATTGCGTCTATTGCTATTGTTTTAAAAAATTCGTGAAGAATAAAATTTATATAAATTTTTTTAAAGTATTCAACAAAATTTTTAATTTTTGAAAAATGAATCTTACGTTCATTTTTTTTTTTTTTTATTTTTAATGAAGTTTTATAGATTTAAAGTTCTTTTCATGCCATTAATCAAGCAAAAGAGTAAAAATTGTGTTTTAAAAATTCATTCATTCATATGGCGAGGTTTTCCATATTTTTATAGCCGCACATCTTTTTTAGAAAGAAAAAAAAAGAAAGGAAAAAATATATATGGGCTTTATTTCACTGTTTAAATAAATTCTTAAATTTACTTATTGTTAAAAATGTCACGTTGCTCGCGAGACTATTTTTTAAAATAAACTTGTACTGTTAATAAATTTTGAACATTTTGAAATATCAAATATTAGAAGTAAACTTCAATTTGAAAGCAAATGAAAATATTGATCTTTATGCAAAAATTTATTAAAAATACAAGTATACCTGTTTCAAAATATTTATTTGAAAATATAATCTTGAGACCCATATGTCATTTTTTAAAAAAATAATTCATGACTTTTTTCAACAGTAAAAGAAATGTTATATTTTTTCCGTTTCCTCCAAATAAGATATGAGATAGTAAAAATTAAAATCTTGAAATAAATCCTGGCAATTTTCAAACTATAATTGAATTAATGGTTTAAATTTTTTTTTCAAATTTATAAAAATTTATTTAAAAATATATCTTTTGGGATAAGTTTAATTTTCAAAAATAAAAATTCTTTATTTTAACATTTTTAGAAAATTTTAAACATTAAATAAAATGAATTGTTTCAACAATAATAATAGATTATTAATTAAATATTATAAATTCAATATGATTATGTTTTTCTATATGATAAGAAAATATCGATTGGTAAATTTTTGTACGTGTTAATAATGTAAGTTAAAATCCTACCTTAATAAGTCCCATCAAAATGAATAAATGACAAATAAAGCAGAAATGAGTGTGGAGTAGTTTGAGATTCCCCCAATATATAACTTTCCCGTCGTTTTGCGTCACAATTGTAAAAACTCCTCTATTATATTTCCTTCATTATCGCTGTATGTAAATCGTTACCTAAAAAAATTATATATGTCAACAACTATATAATTATTTTAATATTTAATTTTTTTTTTTTGTTATATTTATTAGTTAAAATTATTTAATTTTTAATAAATTTTACTCAACGATTCTTCTGCGTTTTATATTCATAAAAAGTGTGTTAAAATAACAAATTTTCATAATAAGAAATTCTGTATTTTGAATTAAAAATTTGTTTATTGTTTGTTTATCGATATTTTTTTATGAGAAAATTTCCTTTTCGATATATATATATTTTTTAAAGAATATTTTACATATCAAAGAATAAATTATTAATTTATTTTTATTTAGTAATTTTAAAAAATAATTAGACTGAATGCAAAATTGCGTGATTTTAATTATTTTCCGAGTTTCAAATTCAAATCAGGAAATATTAAAATAACATAGTGACAAATAAATTTTGTTTTGAATACAGAATTTTTTTACTGCAACTAGGTTTTTAATTTAATTTTTTTTATATATTTTTTAAAAACTAATGAGCCAAAAGTTTTGAATGTTCAAATGAACGAAATTTTTTTGTGCAACTTCTTTAAGTACGAATTTTAGTACAAATTATTGTTTTAAATATTTAAAAAAAGTTATTTAATTTAATAATTGTTTAATTTATTGTTTTATTTTACACGATATTATAATTTTTAATAATTTATAGATTGAAAAAATTATTTCGTTCATTTGAACGTTCAAAACTTTTGGCTCATAAAAACTATAAGACGTGTAATTTTTTTTTTATTACTGTCAATTATATACTTAATTATGTACCAAGATTTAATAACACATAAAACTATTTCTAAAACAATACTTCTATTTTTAAATCCTTATTATCTTCTGGTAAAATTTTATGAAATGTTTTGTCTCTAAAAAAGTACCTACCTACTTTTCACAAAATATTTTTGACCCTTGACAAAAAATTAAGACTGCAAACTGAACTTTTGTAGGTTATACAAAAAAAAAAAAAAATGAGATATGAATATTTCAAGTGATAAATCATTCTTAGACTGCAAAACATTTTTCAAATTAACTCCAAAACTTACCTTTTTAAAATTTCTATCAAAATAAGTCAAGTCGTAAAAGTCAAGAAGAATAGAAAATGTGAAGTATAACGTGCATAAACTTTTATTTCTCATCGCTCAAAGAAACTGTTTTATGATTTCACAATTAATAATTTAATTTAGATATTTAAAATGAACCAATATAACTATTGTAATAATAATAATTATGAAAAATCCTTTTAATTATCAAACAAGAAAACTTGGAATTCATGTTTAACGCGTGTTGACGGAGACAACAATATTTGGGGTTATATTCGTTTACGTAAATTCCGCCTAAAATAATCACGTGACTGTGTCCAACTGCGCGCAATTTTTAAAACTCACATATATCCTCCAATGGCAATTCTAACTATTCTATGTAACTAACGTGATTAGTTGAAATAAAATTTACCAATTTCGAAATTTAAAATTTAAATTTTATACTCTGTTTATTTGAGTATAAAGGCGCTCTCACACCTTTTTGGCTGCCTGCAGGTTACCATGGCAACGCATAAGAGTGAGTGCGACAGAAAATTTAAAAATTTGAATATTCAAATTTTCTGTCTCACTCACACTCGTGCGTTGCCATGGTAACCTGCAGGCAGGCAGGCAGCCAAAAAAGGTGTGAGTGCGCCATAAAACTTGTTTTTCTATTCAATTATATTTCTTTCGAAATAATAAAAGTTATTTTTTCACTTTTATATAAATTATTATACAATTGATGAAAAATTATATTAAAGAAAAAATTAAAAAGAGATATAGGTATAATATTTTAAACATGAAATACGTCTCGGTTGTTTGACTTTTAATGCTTTTGATAAAATTTACGTCTTTTACGTTATATAGTGTATGAATCATAAATATGGTTTTGAAATAATACAAAGCAATTTTTCAAGCAAAATATATGACTGTATGTACTTTCAGGAACATAAAATATAGATTTATTTAGTGCCATCGCACGTCAAATGAGAAGAAAATATAATCGTATTTCTTTTTTATTTTTTTACTTCTTCTAATATCACTTACTTTGCAATAAATAAATTTTCTATTAAACTTTAGTAATTGTAAAAAATTTCATTAATAGGTATTATTTTTAATTTTAAACAAATTACAAAAATTTCCCATTTTTAATTTAATTAAAATTCATTATTTTTAATTTTGAATTTTTCAATTTTTACTAGAATTAAAAGAATATAGTTTTCTATTTTTTAAATATATGAAAATATTCAAATTTTTTCAGTTTAAGTGGAAATTAAATAAAATAAAAAAATGTTCAAAAACATGAAGATATATTTTTTGGTATTTTTGACAATGGCAATTATTTTAGAATGTAATTCAATAATCAGCGTTGAAGATGGTAAAATTAATATTGTCATTTTTATTGTATATTAATTTTTTTTATTCAAATTGAAGTATTGAAAATTTAATTTTAGTTCAAAATTATGCAAAAAATGAAACGGCTGTTGTTTATAAAACGAAGGAGATAATTACTGGATTAAAAAAAATAATGAGAGAAGGATATAAATCATTACAATTGCCTATAATTGATCCATTACAAATAAATTCGCAAAATTTAAACTTAAACACACCTCAATTTCGGTAATTTGGTTTTATTATATAATTATGTTAAATAATTTAAAATTTTTTATTTATTCAGTAGAAAAAAAAAACTTTTCTTTAAATATAAAAGAAATATTTCATTGAATTTTTATTTATTATAAATATAAATTCAAATTTTTAGAATTTAATTAAATATGATTAAAGATTTTTTTAAAAATTTATTTATTTTCAAATAAGAATATTTTCAATAAAAAAAAAAAACAATTAAAATTTCGCTTTTTCAGAGGTAACGTTTCTTTTGGTGCTATAAATATCACAGGTTTATCTATTTATAACGTAGACAATATTTCATTCGAACCAAAAGATTTCCTTCTTGCATTTACTATGAAATGGCCCAAACTTGAGGGACTTATTTTAAATTATAATTTAGCTAATGGTAAATTTATGAAGATTTTTAAAGCTTCAGCAAGTGGAAATGCAATGTAATTTAAATAAATTTATTTATTATATTATTATTTTTACACTTATCTTTACAATACATAGAAGGTTATTTACAGAGGAAATCATTCAAACAGGATTGTTGGATTATTATTATTTTTTTTTTAAACTTTAAAATCCTTTTGAGTTTAATTTTTATTAAAATTATAAACAAATTTCAAGTGAAATTTTCATGGAACCTCTATTAAATGTTACTAATTTATTTAAAATCTTCAAAATTATGATAATACTAAATTCTATACAAAGAATATATTGAATATTAATAAAAAAAAATTTTCTATAATCGAGCAATCATAAATCAATAGATGAATTTCTCTATAATGATCATATAATAAAGTTTTAAAAAATATTATTGTTTAGAATAAAAAACATAATAATATTTAATGTAGATTTTCTCTTTTCTTTTAGTGTTATTGCAAAGAATGTTATATATTCCATTACAGCATCAATAGGCGTTAATGAAAAAAATTCGACCCTATCCATTAAGGATTTTAACAATTTTCTTTCTGTTGGTGAAAAAGGAGACAAAAACTCAATTCAGGTTTATAGTATACTTTTAAATATAAATGATTGTATAAATACATAACACAGTAACAGTTATCTATATATAAAAAAAAACATTTACTTTTCCAGATAAAAAAATTAGGTCCAAAAAAATTAAAATTGTTCTCTGGTATGGTTAATAAACTTATCAATAATAAAGCAACTAAAATTTTCAATGACAATAGTAAATTAATCGAAGACAATCTAAAAAAAATAATAAAACCGTCATTAAATGAATTTTTACAGAAGAAAACTCTTGCGGACCTAGTAAAACTTTATAAGTTTTAGAAAAAAGTTTAATTATTCCATATTGCTATTAAAAAAGAGCAAAGGAATAAATTATCAAGGTCTAATTGTATTTCAAAAAATGTATAATATATTTAGAAAAAATTTATATTTAAAATTTTTTATTTATTAAATTATTTAAAAAATTTTAAGAACAAAAATTTATTTTAAATCAAAACAAAAAAATTTTTAATACAAAGTAATTTTTAAATTTTATTAAGAATCTTAATATTTTATAAAAAGAAAAATTATTAAACTTTAAAAAATTGTTATTTTAAAAAAAAAAAGCTTCTCTTTGAGTAAAATTACATTTTTCTGAATGCGAATTTTTACCTGAAATATATTATAATGTGAAGATAAATTTATAACGATTCATTAATAGTAAACTGTTATTTTTTAAATTAGAATGCTGTAAATTTAAATTTGTATTATAATATGTAGAAAATTATTTTAATAAAAAAATGAAAAATATAAACAATGTTTAAAGAAATATTTTTTTGAATGAAAAATTCTATATGAATTGTCTAAAAGATATTTTTTACAATAAATTATAAAAAAAAACAGTTTTTTGGATCAAAAATTTTATAATTTTTCGTTTTAAAACAAATTTGTTTTCTAATCATTGATCATAAATATTGTGGACTTCAGAATCATTAATAAATAAGATATATATATATTAATAATGAATTATAAATATCAAATATAAATTAAATATTAATATATATAAAATTTATTTGTTTTTATGCAATTATTATATTTCCAAAGTATTTTTATTTATGATTCACAAAAGTAATCCAGAAATATGCATCTAAAGAAGTGTTTACATTTTAAGTGATAAAATTTTTAGTATCAACTGTACATTGATAAAGTGATCTTAATACTAAAGCTGAATGAAATGTATTTAACAAACAGTATAGTTTTTGCATCTGCTTATCAATTTGTGCAAACATAGTTACATGTAAGTACACTTTTAATCGTAAATTGTTTAATTTTAGATTTTATTCATTTAAATTAAATGCGTAAATTTTAATGTATAGGTGAATATAGAATTCAGAATGCAGTTTAAAATAAAATTTTGCCAATATTATTAACGAAAAAAAAAAAATTAATAATATTAGTAAAAATAGAAATTTGCAGTTTAAGACAAATAAAAAAAAAATAAAACTAATGAATTAGATTTCAAATATTTTATTATTATTTTTATTATTATTATTATTATTATTATTATTATTAATAATAATAAAAAAATTTTACAATGAAAATATGGAAATTTTCAATTATGTTGTTGATGATGAGTTTAATCGATTACAAAACAGTGGTGGCTGATAATAATTATTTAAAAAGAGGTGATTATAAACATTTATTTATTAATAAACATTATACTGCAGTTAAAGCAGTTAAAAAAAATGTTAAATGCATATAATTATAATGTATAAATATTATAAATAATTATTTTTTTTTAGATTTGTTCGTTAATGATACGTCCAATTCAAGAATAAACTATTTGTTTAAAAAATTTCTAGAGCATTTTAAACAATATTTGAAAAATGGAAATAAATTTTTAGGTATCCCTTCTATTGATCCTTACAAATCAGGTCCAGTAAATAAATTCTTAAACTTGGAAGATATAAAGTAATTTTTTAAATTAATTACATGACAGTATTATATATATAAATTTATTATTAATTTCTAATAAAATAATACATAACATAAATAGTTCATGTTTATTAATAAATTAATTTTTTAATGATTTATTGATTTACCTTTTGAATTAATAGTCAATTATTAAGTATAATTACTTACTCATTACAAATGTAATTTAATTATTTGCTTATAAATAACTGAATTACTTTTCCAATTTATTTTTAAAAATTTATTAGAAATTCAAAATTTCTGAAATTAAATAAATTTTTAATAAACATTCAATTTATGTTGATATTTCATGGAAAATTATTTATTAACCGTTTATTTTCATTTGAAAATTTTAGAGGCAATATTTCAATTGATAGTGTTGCTATTTCTGAGTTATCAAATTATCTAGTTACCAGAGCTGAAATTGAGGGGTTAATAATAAGAATGGGTTTTCAATGGTTTAATATAGATGGAAATATGACTTCATATAATATTACAAATTGTAGTTTCATGAATTTTATTAAGATTTTTGGATTTGGAGATGCAGTGTAATTATTCATTTAAGTATTTTAAAATAATAATTATTAACTCGACGAGATTCTAAAGCTTTATTATTATACGAAAATTGAAAATCAAATATATATTTCGCATTTCAAAGTATTTGCAATTTTTACCTATTAGTGTTGATTTTACATTCATAATAAATAGAGAAAAAAAATTTTTTTAATTAAATACTGAGAAATAATAGAAAAATAAATAAAATTCAGATTCTAAATTTCACTAAAAACTAAAATATAAAATAATTAAAATAACATAAAAACCAAATTAGAAATAAATTTGATAAATGATGTGAAAAAGTTGAATAAAAATAAGAGAAAAAATACATTAATTAAATTTAATTATAAATATTTACAGGTTTACTGTTAAAGATTTGAGTTTTACTACAAGTATCACTCTTGGATTCAAAAATATTAAAATATTTATAAAAACCGTAGAGTCACAAATTTTTCTAAGAGATTTCGAGGTATTTTTTGTAAGATATGTTTCATATATGCAATTTTTTGCAAGTCTTTTTTTAAATAAATAGATATTTAAAAAGAATAAAAAATTTTAAAAAAAAATTGTTTCTTTTTTTTAGTTCTACACCGAGGGTTTATATAATGATAGTTATTTATCTAAAGAGATGAGTTCTGTGATTTCTAAAATGGGACCTGATTTCGTTCAAAACTATCAAAAAACATTGACAACTGCAATTGATGAAAAAATAACGAAAATAGTGGAGAAAATCATTGGCTATATAAATGTTTATAATTTTAATGAAATTCCCAAAAAAAAATTCTTATAAATATAATATTTAATTAAAAGAAAATGAGATAAATTTATTTAAAATGAACGCGAATTAGGTATAACAATCAGTAATTAATAAAAAATATTTAATAATAAGAAAAAAAATTAGAATACTGTAAAAAATATAAATAAAGAAATTAAGAACAATAAAATAGAAATATTTAAAATTAGTGTTTAATTAATTTTTTTTTTTTATCAGGATTTACTTTGAAATATAGTTTTGTGCCTAATCCTACCAACGTTTGACATAGATTGATAAGAAAAATTTTGTAGTTTTTATATTTTTTGTTTTTGATAAAATATATTATCTTATATACATAACGAAAAGTAACAATCCCATACCCATAATTAAATATAGAAAAGTGTTTCATTAAATAAATCGTCGTCATATTAACTGATTATTTTTATTTAATGTCCTAATTACGTTACAAAATTTAGGACAAAATTTGAGAAAAACACACATTTTCGTGGATATAAAAATCATTATAAATTCAAAATTTATCAAGTTTTCTGAGCAGTTGTTTTCTAACATTCTACTCAATCGCTCATTTCAAATATAGTTGATTTTTTTTTAAATAAAAATTTTATCATTCTTATCATATATATTATTGCAATTTTTTTTACTTGTATATTTTGCAAGAATAAAATAAAATAATGAAGACTTTTTCACTAATTCTTTTAATTGTCTTAGTAATTCATCAGACTAATGCAAGAAATTTGACGAATTTATTAACAAGAGGTATAGTAAAAATAAAATATTATGTTTAAAAAATTGTTTATAAAAATATAAAAATAATTAACAATAAAATGAAAATTTAAAAGTGTAATGTAAAATATAAATTTTACCTTTTTTCACAGTAAATGGAGTAGCTGAAGATTTGATTAGTTTAAAATCGACATTTATAATTGAGAATATCAGGCAAATTATAAAAAATGGAAGTGATAAGATGGAAATTCCAGTTCTTGATCCTTTCACAATATCTGAAATATCTAAAAATTTGTCATCAGAGATTTTTAAGTAATTTCATCACATAATATGTTTATTATATACATCAAAACTTAATGTCTAAATGTTAAAATTTGTATTAGCTTTAAATTTTTATTTAAAAAAAAAAGAAATTTTTTATTTTAATAATAAAATATAAAAGATCTTTTTATTGTTATATCCAGTGTTAATTTCAAATTATTATTAATTAATCTTGCAGAGGTCAAATTGATGTAAAAAGTGTAAATGTAAACAATATCTCCGACTTCAAAGTTGATGTATTTCATCTGAATTTAAGAAAATCAAAAATGAATATCACTTTACACTGGCCAATGTTAAAAGTAAATTTGAATTCTTATAATATAAATGGAGAGTTACCTGACATGGCTGATGTCAACGGAACTGGAGATGCTGAGTGAGTTAAAAACACAAACACTCACACACACACATTTTTAAATTTAATGAATATACTTGAAAAAAATAAAATTTAATTTAATTAATAATAAAATTTACTAAATTCTGTGAAATATAATTTAATATTTTTCAAAATAAATTAAAGTATTATTCGTTTCTTTAAAAAATTAATTAGGTATAAGTAAATATTATTTTAATTTTTCTAGATTGGTCATTAGAAATTTAACATTTTCAAGTGAATTTTCATTGAATGTGGATGTTAGAAAAAGAATATTATTTATAGACAATATGAAATCAAATATTTCTTTAACAAATTTTGAGGTTTGTATACTTTTATATAGTTTTTTAATAAAAAAGAATATTCCATAATCAAACATTTTTGAAAACTTAAATATCCCAGGAATATGAGAAAATTAAATAATTTTCAAATATTGAAATATTCACAAAGTTCCAATGGAATTTTTCATAAATGAAAATGAAATATTTCTCATAAAATTGGGATTTATTGTTTAGACTTAATTATAATATTATTATATATTTATATTAATAATAATTATTATATTGATTTATATTTAAAATAAATGATACTTTATTTTTCTGCATTTAGGTCATATCAATGGATGTTCTGAATGATGAAGAATTCACAGAAATGATCAAAGAGTCTTTGCCTGAACAGGCTCCGAAATATGTTGAATCTTTACAAGAGACAATTACAAATTTAATAAATAACTATATAATGAAGAATGTCAATGAAATTCTTAGCGAAATATCATTGAAAAAATTAATATCTCATTTAAGAAAGTTATTAAAACGAAATATATATAAAATTAATTCAATTGAAACAAACGAAATTCCTTAAAAACATTTAGATTTTCTATATATTTAATTTAAAAATGTAAGTTTTATAAATAAATATTTTAAAAGTATTTTCAGTTTTTTATTATTGTTATATTTACTAAAAAAAAAAAAAATCTTTTAATAAAAAATTTGACAGTATTTTTTTATTCAATTAATTGAAATACATTGAACAAAAATGTTAATTTTTAAATCATTAATTATTCTTGTGAAATTTATTTTGCATAATTTTCATTTTCTATAATTAAATATTCTAAAATAAGCAAAAATGCGATATGAATCTGGACTTTGATAAAATGATATTTATATAAATGCTGATAATCTACTCAAGAATTTATGTTTCTTTTTTTTGCACATTTTCATTAGGTGTTAATATCCTCAGAGAGTAAGTGTATTATCATTGATTATTTATAAATAATAGTTTAATATTTGTTTAATTCTCTAATATTCTATTCAGCTATCAACAAGCTATCAAAATGAAACTTCTATCGATTTTTATTTTGATTGCTGTTTTATTTGAGAATAAATTAGAAGCATTTGAATCAACGAACTTACTGGGAAATGGTAATGATAAATTAAAAAAATTAATATAATTTATTAAAACATTTAAAAAATTTTTTAAATTAAATTTAAAAAACATTTTAAAAAATAAGATATATTTATAGATAAAGGATTAAATGAAAAATTGATTAAGCTAATTGAGAAATTTAAAGATTATTTGAGAAAAGGAAATGAGTCTTTTGGACTTCCTGTGATGGATCCTTTCACAATCAAACATCAAGAATTGCCAATGAAATCAGAACTATTTAGGTGATTTTCATTTTTTATCAATCAATTCATTTAATTAGTAAAAAAAAATGGCTGTTTAAAAACACAATAGGTATAATATTATTTATAAATTCTTTTAGTGGTGAGGTAAAAATTAACAATTTACAACTATTGGGATTGTCAAATTATAATGTTGTGAAAGCAGATTTGAAAATAGTTGGCCTCAAACTCATGTTGGCACTTCACTGGCCAGGATTAAATTTAATTATCAATAATTATGAAATAGATGGTGTAGCACTTAAATTTATTGATGTTTATGGAAAAGGATCTTTGAAGTAAGTTCAAGAATTTAAAAAATTATAAAAACAACTATCATAATTTAAATTTTATTAATTAATAAAATTAGCAAATAAAATTAAAAAATTTTCTTTTTTCGATATTTAATTAAAAATTTATAATAATTTTTTTAACACTATTATTCATTATTATTAATTAATTATTCTTTGCATACCTGTATAATGTATTAATATAAATTATTAAACTCAATTTTTTTTTGCAGAATGAACCTAAATAGTTTGAATTTTACTACGACTGTCAGCGTTAGTACAAATAAATCAAATAAAACTTTATTTATTAAAGAAATGAACAGTGAAGTTTCTTTGGAAGACTTTCAGGTAATTTTTTTTTTAATTAAAATAAAAAAAAGAACAAGGTCATATATAGGTGGTTTTTTTTAAAAAAGCAAAAAAAATTACCGACCCTTATATTGTTTCTTTATAGAAGAATATTTATAAATAATTAAATATATTTATAAAACGATAATTATATTCGTTAATATTTATTATATAATTAAATATAAAAATTAAGTAATCAACTATTGAATTAATTGATTATCATTTATATAACTAGTTGATTACCTTATTTTAATTATAATTTTTAAATTCAAATATTAATATTGTTTTATAAACATTATTCGTATAATATTAATTTATTTGAAACAATATGTTACGTAAATTTTTCAGTTCTTAATTGATGGACTTTTCAATGATAAGGATCTGTCTGATATGACCAATGCTATTGTTTCTGATTTAGTACCATCAATAATTAAAACTTATCAGAAAAAATTGACTAGCACAATAAATAATTTGGTCATAACTAGAGCCAATGAAATATTGCGTACGATGACACTGAAAGATATTTTGGGTCTCATAAACTCTTCACATCAAAATCAAAATTTTCTCCTATAATTGAAATTAAAAAATTTCTATAAATTCCCGAGTACATTGGGAAAAAAAATTGTTTTATAATCCGTTCTTTTATTATTATTATTATTAAATAAATATTTATTTGAAACAAATAATTTTTATTTAAATCAAATAAAGTGTAAATTTAAAATAATAATTACTATATTTGATACAAATAAATATTTATTTATAAATAATTTCTCTAGATATATGTAACTATTATGAAAAATTTAATTTTGAAATAAATAGCAAAAAAAATTTAAGTATAATTATAAAAAATAAATTATTGATATGATTATTGTTGTTATTATTTGTAATTTTTTATTAATAATAAAATTTAATTGTTATATAATTTTATTCTTAAATTTTTTTTTCAAATGCGTTTAACAAAAACAATATTATTTAATTTTTCAATATCAGTTAAACTGATAAAAAAATCGCTTGCGCAAATTTGTTATCGTTAACATAATGGTGTGATCTTCATCTGATTTAAATTGGGTAAAATTCTAGTATTTTAAGGAATAGATTGTTAGACAACAATTCAAAGCCAATAAACTTCAATCAGATAATGAGATTTCTATATAAGCCATTACACCATTGAAGCAAATATTTAGTCTTTCCTTTAATTGACATTAGGTAAGTACGTTTTAATAAAGAAAAAAGTCATTTTTAAATGAAAATCACAAAAAATAAAAATAATGATTAATATAATTAACAATTATTACTTAATTGTAATGAATAATAAAAATTAAATAAATCAATTAATAATAAATATTCAAGTTTCTAAACCAAAAATAAAAAATTTACTCTTTTTAAAAATTCTTTTTTGACAAGCAATTTCATTGTTTACTCTAACTGTAAAATACTTTTTGTGTAATGTAAGTATATTCTTATGTGGTTAAAAAAAATATTTTTTTCCGCAGAAAACAAAATGAAGTTACTGATTATTATTCTTGTGACTGTCTTAATGAACAGTCAGGCAAAATCAATTTTGGAAATTTACAATCCAACCAATGAATATTTGTCAACAAAAGGTAATAAATGAAAAAAAAATATTAAAATAATAGAATTTTCGAAAAAATATAATATGAAATTATTTATTTCAACTTGATTAATTAATTTAAAAAAATCAATTTTTATTTTAGAAGATTCAAATAATTCTACAGTAAAATTCCTGGGATTGAGTTTAAACTCAAAACTCGAGCAAATTAGAGAAATGTTAAAAAATGGAAATGAATCTTTGGGAATTCCAGTTTGTGATCCTTTTAAACTAGAACACATGGAAGAAAAACTTAATCTTTTTAACGGCTCAATTGAGTAAATAAATTTTTTTTTTCTTTTTACTTTAGAAATTAAAGTTTTTTTCTAATACAATTTTTTTACAAAATAAATTAATAATTTTTAGAATTAAAAATAGTAGGTATATGTATTCCTTTATATATTTTTCCGGTATTATTGAGAAGGGAATTTTTCAGAGGTTCGGGATCCATTGATAATTTATTATTTACTGGACTTTCGGGCTATAAAGTAATGAAAGGTGATATTTCAATAATCAAGAGGGCAATGAGTCTGAAACTGAAATGGCCTCGTTTGGAGGGAATTTCATTTTACATTATAAATGCGTTCATAAAAAATAAAATGATTCAAATTTACGGAGGAGGAGACTTCCAGTAAGTAGTGATTTTAATTTTTTCATTGACAAAAAAAAAAAAAAAAAAAGGAATACTTAAAATTTAATTAATCAAATTATTAAATTCATGTCTTATAATTTTTAGAACAGTGACTGAAAATTTAATATTCGAAACTGACGCCTATTTCGGTTTGAAAAATGGAAAAGTCTACATTAAAAATATGGATACACGAATCTCCTTTACAACTTTTAAGGTTTGTTTAAATATATTTCAAATTTTTTTTTAAAAATAAATATATTAAAATAAACCATTTTTATTCTTAATTGTTCAAAAATTGAATATATTTAATGAATTTAATTTAAAAAAAAAATATTTAAAAATATTCTAAAATGTCAAGAAATTGACAATATTTGTTAATGTGAAAAATTTGTTAATATTTGTTTCTATTGACAGTTTACTATCACGGGATTGTATTACGATGAAGATGTTTCAAAAACAATGAGTGTCTTCGTAACGGAATTTGTAAAACAAATATTTCGTGACAATCAGAAAAATTTGGTTAACGTTGTCAATAGCTTTATAATGATTAATGCTAATAAATACTTAAGTAATATGACTTTTCAAGATTTACTAAATCTTCTAAATTAATATTTTCTCATATTTCTCGTCATCTAATATTGTCAAAGTGGATCACCTGCGGCAGACTCTATCTGAAGTTGAAAAAAGTACCAATATTGGAATTATTTTAAAGAATATTTTATCTTATAAGGTATTTACAATTTTTTTTTAAACCAAAGATTTCGATCTATTTACTTTTTATAATAATTTATTAATTGTATTTATTTCATAAAATTTTAATTATCAAGAAATAAAATTTCCGCAGGTGAACTAACTTTGTAATGTTGTATTTAAATGATATATTAATTCAATTAATTAAAAAATATTAACAGCGTTTATTCTAATTCTATTTACAATTAAATTCATAGCCGTGTATACATATATAGATTGTAAATAAAAATATATAGCAACAGTCGAGATTGTTAATTAATCTGCATAATGTAATCTGTACTATTAATACTGAAATATAGCCTTTTTAAAACAGAATAAAGATAATATTCAAATTTGTGTTTATATAGTTTAAATTACAATTTTCATAAATTTTTTTTTTTAGATATTACTGAAAAAGGAATATAATTGAATCAAATTGAATTGACTATTGTCAAATAAATATTTCTTTGAATTGTAAAATATTTATTTGGTTCAAAATAATTTTTTTTTAATTTATTCAAAATTTATCAAATGAAAAAAAATTAATTAAATAAATTAATGAACTATTTAATCAAATGTAATTGAAACTAGTTTGAAAATAAAAATTTCTTTCTCTATATTGTAGTAAAATGATATATATATATAAAATGGTTACTATGGCAACAATGATACTACAATACCAAATACTGATAATAATGTAGTACTCGTTAGTAAGAATTGTTACCATAGCAATAGTATAGCTACCATAATATTACCATAGTTATTATTAAATATAATAATATTATAGACATCATTTTATTACTAAGAATAAAAATAATAAAAAGAATTAATTATAAAAACCTAAAACTTGTGCAGAGCAATTCTTCAAGGTCTTCAAGGTGAATTGAATATCTTCCTGATTTAAAGTTGAAGAAACGCAAATTCTCAAGCTGGGTCTTGGCATTTTTATCTCAGCTTCAAGGTACGCTGGCATAATAATTGCCAAATTACTGTCAATACATTTCTTGGATATTTCATTGAGAATTTTCATTTCGTCAGCGAGATTTCGTTTCTCCTTTAAATAAAGATGTTTTACTGGTGATTCTTTGAAACTTGTACAATCAAAATATTCAATTTCATTGAGACCATCGACGAGTGACAAACAATTTCGTTTTAATTGCTTAAAAATTTCCAAATTTCTTTCCATTATATCGAGAGAGGTAATAGCTGCCGTTGTTAAAAGTGGTGGAAGTGATGCTGAGAAACAGTAACCAAGTCCTGATAATCTATGATGTTCGATTACAAACGATGAACCCACGCAAAATCCACCTATTGAACCAATTGACCATTCCAGGGAAGCTGTAATTTTTTTTTTTACAAAATCATTATATAAATTTTTAATTTTTTCTATTTACAACTCAGACAGAGAGTCTCCTTCTTCATTTATATTTTAAACCTAAAAAAGAATTTAATATAAAAACTTTGGATTTCAAATTTCATTTTAAATTCTTTTGAGGCCTATAAAGAGGTTCAATACCAGGAATATAATCTCAAACTAAATAATATTAATTAAAGTCAATATATTTTGAGAGAATAATCACTATTATCATAAATAAAACTAGCAAATATTTAATACAATTTTTCAGCTTGAATTATTCTCAAGATTTCAATTAATAAAATTAAAAAAAAAATCAAATTATTCCTTTATAAAAATATCAAAATTTTTCTTCAATTATTTAATCAAAAAAATTTTAATTATCTTCCAATATTAAGTCAAATAATTGAAAATATCTTCAATATTATTCAATAAAATAATTTAAATTATTTCTAAAAAGATTAATAAAATTATTGACATATTTAAATATTTATAATGGAATTTTTAAAAAATTATCCTCAATTATTTGCAATTTTTGAGTTATTTTAGAGAAAAGTACAAAAAAGTATTTCAAATAGTATAGTGAGAAAAAAAAATGTATTTAGTTCAAGTAACCGATTATTTAACTCTTATTAAATTGTTAATTGAACTAAAAAATTTTCATTAAAATTAAATAAACTATATTCGAACTAATAATTTTTTTATTTGAAATAAATACCATTTAATTAACACAAATAAAAATTATGTTATCTATGAAATTGAATTATCTAATTAAAATTGATTTTAAAATCTCACCCATTATCATATCAATATCCTCCTTGGGAACATTAAAATATTCCGTGACTCCTCTCCCATGAATTCCAAGAGTGCCAAACGAAATTGATTCATCGATAAAAATCCTCAATTTATATTTTTTACAAAGAGCAACAAATTCTGGCAAGGGACAAATGCATCCTGTATTCATGTAAATTCCTTCAACAATTAAAAATCGACGAGTATTTGCCGCTTTTTTAGGATTTTTCTTATCAATTTTTTCCTGTTCCAATAAAAGATTCTTCAAATCATTCACGTCATTGTGCTTAAAATATTTGACATTTGATCGTGAAGCATCGAGGCCTTTTTGAATTGAAAAATTCACCATTTCATCGACAAAAACTAAATCTTTTCGTTTACAAAATGCAGGAATTGCTGAAGCAATTGTACTAAATCCATAAGAATAAACAACGGCCTCCTCCATATTCATGAATTTTGCTAAACGTTCTTCCAATTCAAGATGAACGTCCACTGTTCCATAAAATCCTCGTGGTCCACAGGAACCAACTCCATATTTTTGAATTGTAGCCATTGCCTTCTCTTGAATTTCATTATTACCAACTAAACCTAAATAATTGTGAGTCGCAAGATTTAGACAATTATTGCCATCAATTGTCACTCTTTTGCCAACGAGTGATGTGACACTTCTTGGTGTTAATGAAGGATGATCTTTTGAATTTTGAGGAACCAATGGTTCAGGTCGCCATTCTGTCAATTTTCTTTGAACCTCTTCTTCGGAGGGTTGTTGTCGATTCTCTCTTTGTCGTCTCTTAGAAATAAACCATGCGACCCATAGAAAGATAAATCCTTGCAAAATGATATGATAAGATGGTATTTTAGATAAAATATCTATTGATTCAAGCTGAATGAACTTTGTACTCATTTTTAATTTCAATTTACAAGGAATTTATTTTAAAATATTTTATAATCAAATACTTGCAGGTGTGTTTCACGTAAGTTTGAGGTTATATTACAGGCACTTAATACTTGAGGTTCTTAGATAATTATCAAACTTGACTAGTAATTTTTTTTAACATATGTAAAAACATTTTTTTTCAGAATGATAACAATTATAGATAAAAGTTTTTTAAATTTATTTTAACCTTGACTTTTTCACTTTATAAATTAATAAATAATATCGTGAGGAAGTTGAAGTTAGTCACTTATTGAAAAGGTTAGGTTGCATTTCGTACTGCCAACTGCGCATATGAAAAATTTAAATTTTCTACAATTTAAAAAATAATACTGCAAACATACAGTTTAAAAAAATAATTACAATGTATATAATATATTTAAAAACTTATTTACAAAATTAAAAAAAAAATCATTATAAAATTATTCTTGTGAGGTTTTTAAAAATCATTATTCACTTTTTTTTTTGAAATTATGAGTAAGCACGCATGCGCAATATTTTTCTCCTATGTTTTACTTCCGGTATCCGGCAGACGCCCTAGTTTGTGTCGGTGTATGAGCTAATGTCACAAATCAGTTTTATATTATAAATTTAAAGAATTTTCATATCGTTATTATTGTCCTACACTTGTAATCATTGTGAATAATTGTTTTACAGCTTCTGCAAAGTTTTGACACACTTTCGGTGAGTAAATAATTGTATTTTACGTTTAAAAAAAATTAAAGGTATCACAGCCGCTAGGTTGCTTGTACAGTCTATTTCAAAAACTTATACCTGTTACAAATAATTTTCTTCTTTTGACATTTGTTTCATAGCTGACAGAGTAAATTTTCTTTTATTTTACAAAGAACACCGGTTTATTTTTAATTGTACTAAACAAATGAAGAATACTATTTTTTTCCATTTGATTACAAATCGTGAGAGTATTTATCCCCCCCACCGAGCAGAGATTGAGTCATGCTTTACTTTTGACATATGCAATGAATTGTCAATAATAGTGTGGTAGGTCAACAATTAACGTTTTATTTATTCTTTTTTTTTTTTAGAAAAGAAATTGATATAATATTGTTGAAATCCTTTATTACTTTGTTTCATAATTTTCCCAATTATTTTAGGTTATTTTAAACAAATATTTTAATTATCATTGTTAGTTTGATTATTTTACTGTAAACAGTGTTTAAATTTTTTTTAAATATAGAAGCACTTTTACAAATTTAATATTTTACTTTTTAGTTTTTCTGACATGAATTCTAAATTATTACACTTTTTAACTCTTAAATTTTAAACAATTGATATGAATTGCTTAAATGAACTCTCTTTTCTGCATACAATTGAAAATAAAAATCTTAATTTTGATTCAAGATTTTTATAATTTATAATTATAAATAAAACACTTTAATAATAATCTAATAATGATAAATTTACATGATATTTATTAATGTAAAATGAAAATTCCTTCAAAATTTGCATAATTTAAAAAAAAATTGTAAATAATTATGAAAAAATTGTCACTAAACGATATAGCATTGGAAATATTTTCTCTTTGAAGAAAGAGTATTTACAGGTTTTCGAAAAAGAAGATAATTAATTCTTTGATCGTATCTTTCTACTACTTATTAGTCACAACTCCAAGTATGACTCTAGATTCATCAAACTCGTTTAATCGTCCATCACCTTTTGCTATGTAATGACGAGTCGAAGATTTCTTAAAGAGTTTATTTTCAACGATTTATAATAGGTATATATAGGTATTGTCGCACAACATTCTAATAATTATTTTTTAAAAATGCCGGGATTTAATGAAAATTATTGTGAGCCACGAATGTCATCTGATGATTACAAAAGTCTATTAAAAAAATGGAAAAATCGTGAGTATATAATATAATAAATTTTTAAATTTCAAAAGTTTGCTTAATGATAAAATATGTAAGGTAAACAAATTTAATTTTATATTGTTCTACATTTAGACGATAATTTATTATCATATTCATTGAACGCGTCATTCTTTTTCGTCAACAATATTCAATAATGCAATATATTAAATATTTAAGAAACATTAATTAATTATTAGTTTATTTAAATTATTACTAAATGCCACAATGTTCTTAAATATTTTTAAGATGAAATATTTATTTTTAATTAAATTAAATTAAAAGCGTTTATTTTATTTAAATTATTATAATTTTTTTTTTTTTTTTTTTTTTTTTTTTTTTTTTTTTTTTTTTAATTACAAACGATTTCATTTTACTTAGTGGAAAATTCTAAAAGACTTAGTCAATATTGTAAGGTTTCTTGTCCCCAAGAATTTGTAAAATGGCTCGTGTTCTTAATGGGATTTAATTGAATTTCAAATAGAAAATTTTAAGTCATGTTCGGCTGTAAAAAATTTCTTTTGAACTGTTTATTTATTTGAAAAATAATAAATTAAAATTTGGAATTAAATTTTTTAATGTTACAGATCTTAAATAAATTTTGTATTCTATTAAAAGTATTTCCAAATAATGCTATTTTTAATTAATGAAATATTTGAGAAATTAAATAGATAAAGTATTATATTTAATACTGTTACGTATAATTTTTTTACAAAAATTTACATTTATTTTTTACATTAAATGATAAATATTATTATTTATCTTGGAGATTTCTTATTACTTTTTCATTTTTAGGCGAAACAAAAAAAATTTCTCTAATCTTCAAGTTACGTTTATGCATATAATCTATATATATATATATTTTTTTATCTTTTCGGTTGGACGGATAAAAAGTGAAACATTGACTTGACACTTTGGATATATTTCTACCCACGTATATATGTCAAAAATGGAGAAACAATTTTAACGAAGTAGTTTCCAGTTGAGAAAATTCGTTTCGTATATGATGTGATTCTTAGACAAGCTGCAGACATAATCGCTCGTCTCGCATGCAGAAAATAATTACATACTGTCTACAATTCGCCTTTCAACAAACGAACTAGACTTTTTTTTATATATAGACGAAAAAAGACACAAACAAAATACATTTACAAAAATAATATGAAAAATACTTTAAAAAAATACAAAAAAAAATTTATTAAATGAAAAATAGGTATTTTTGCAACAGTCAATATTTAATTTCAAAATTGAAGTTTACTAATTATTTTAATTGATAATTGTTTCGAATAATTTTAATTATTAAAAATTAATAGGAAATTGAATTTGATTTTTTTTTTGCAATAGTAATTTTTTTTTAATATGAAAATGTCTTCTTTAACAAATAAGAAAAAGTTGAATTTATTTTTAAATAAAAAATTGTTAATCAATGATATATTGAAAAATTTAGTGTAAATTTTCATTAAAAAAATTAGATACAAAGATGATTTTCAGAAATATATTTGGTCCAGACTATATATAAGTATATATTATAAGAAACTTCATGGAGGGCTGGAGCATCCGGGATAATATACTTTTGCAGGATCCCAGAAGGGTGGACGCAGTCGCGCACGCAGCCGCAAATGTGTCGTTTCGTTATGTCGTTTTAAGGCGTGTGACCGTGACTTTTCAGGTGTGGCGAATTTAAGTTTTAGGTCGTTGACACAAGAAAAATCCCCGCTTTTATTCATTATTCGCAAAAGAAATTTCAACAATTCACGCAATTCATTTTCATATAATAATTTGTGCGCTTGATGAAAAATTCACATTCGTTTCACGGAAGCTGCAATTTTCTTATCGCTGATCAACTCTCACGAAATCTTTCGTCTTCCGTTTTGCTGTTGTTACGCGGAATACATAAAAGTGCCAAAAAAAAAAATAAATATATTACACCTGAATTTATAATAAATATATTTATTCATTTCGCCGAGAAAAACACGCATTTTATTCATCTGACAATAAATTTACGCGGGGATGAATGCTCAAGTGATTTTTGATTGCATCGATTCAGACGTTGTTCAGTGCATCAACCGTGCGTGCACAATTCAAGTTCATCCGGAGAAAAATTTCATCTACTTGTAATTTTAAGAAAGTATATTATATAAAAAAAAAGTGATTGTATAAATTAATTATTTATGAGAAATTTAGTGACGCATTTAGTCAAATATTTATTCGTTATCGTTTGTTGAAGAAGAAAAAAAATAATAATAATATTTATGTGAAAAAATTTTAAGTGGAACAAATTTATCGAAAAATTATTCTATCAAATTCAGTATATTTGAATCTGTTATGATACTTGGTGTGAATTTAAATTATCTATTGAGGTCTTTATTTCCTCTTTAAATCTCCAAATACTATATATATATATATATATAAATATATTAGAAAGATATCTTAAAATAAAAAGAAATAATTTCTAAAAACTGTAAACAGAATTAATCATGAAACATTAAAAAGATCTCTGAGTATTAAAATATATTGTTATCAACTGTAAAGTTTTATTGATATTGAAAAAGACTTTATTGTAACATTAGACTGAAATTAATTTTAAGAATTTGTTAACTGAAACATGCAGAGTAATTACCTAATTAAAGTTTTATGCCCCATAAATTGTTTCTTTAAAGTACTATCTTGAATTCTCGTTGAATAAAAAAAAAGAAAGAAAGAAAGAAATAATTAGAAGACAATGTTTAGCTGTTGTGCTTGTACGAGACCTTCAAAATTAGATACAGAGGAGGTAAAATCAGACGAAACATCTGATTCAGACGAGGATGACGAGAGCCTCGAGGAAGATGAAAAATCAGATAACGATGACGATGATGATGGTGATGAAAGTTCCGATGATGAAATGTCTAATGAAAACAATGATGGTACAATAACAAAAAAAGTCAAAGACAATGCTCATAATTCACCAAAGACAAATATTATTAAAAATGGAAGTTCAACAAAAATATTTAATTCCAGTCCACAAAATAGTTCAACATCCACTGAAATTCTTTCACAGGAAATTTCGATCGAAAATCAAACAAAAAATGATTTTGAACAAATTTCATGTGGTCAGGAAATTGCTTCTAGTCCAACAGACAGTCAAAATGAAGTTGAATATGCGGAAATTTTACCCAGGAATTTAATATCCGCGAAAGATGATTCGCAAGAAATCGATACAACAAGTAACAATGATGAAGTTTCAAATATAGTGGAGAAAAGTAGCGAAGATTCAATTGTTGATGAGAAATTTCCAATATTGGAAAAAATGGAAGATAATAAATTGCCAAGTCCAGAGGAAACATCGAATAAATCACTTATTAATTTACCCGAGCCAGTTAAACAATTTTCAGAGTCAAAAAAAATAAAGGAACAAATTTTTCAACGAGAAATGAGCCAAAGTTTCGATGACGAGGATCCAAGTCCGGAAAATTCGTCAAATACAGGCTCAGTTGTTCACATACCAAGTTCAATTCCAGACAACGAAGTGATTATTAGTCCAAAAAAACTTTCAATCATCAAAATCGATACTCCAAGTCCGGAAAAAGATGTTTCTAATTTCAAAAAGAATTCAACTTCCGATGAAAATATTTCCAGTCCCGAAAATAGATCAATTAAAATCACAGACAACGAAGCTCAGGAAATTAGTAGTGTTACTCCACCACTCGAGAATCAAATTTTCATTCCACCATCGGAAGTTGAGGAGGAAGAAAAAGAAGAAGATTTTGGTCAACCTCCCAATATTGAAGGATTCGATGAAAACATGGAAATTATTCAACCTCCCGATGATGAGAATTTTTCATCACCACCACCACCAGTAGAAAATATTCCAATTCCCGAGACTGATGACAATATTATACTCTCAGACAGTGGCTATTTTATTCCACCACCGGAAATTGAAAATTTTCTCCCTAAAATTAATGATGAAAATCATCACCAAAATATTGATGACGATGACAATTTTCTTCTTCCACCACAACAAATAATCACTGAGGATTTAATTCCACCACAAGATTATGAGGATTTTATTCCACCTCCACAAAATGATGGTTTTCTTTCACCACCACCGGAAAATGAAGAATTTCTTCCACCTCCAATTAATGATATTATGACATCACCATCACCGGAGAATTTAGTGTTGAGTTTACAAAAAAGTCCATCATTCGATAGTGATGTTCCAAGTCCACAAAATACATGGACATCAAGTTCAACAGACGATGAAAAACGTGCAATCGAAATTACCGAATTCATTGGAATTGCTGGCAATCTAAAACGTGACAAATCTCCCTTACATCACGCTCCTGCATATATCGAGAGAACGATAGATGATGGTCCAGAAGACGAGGGAGATGATTCGGTATTTGAGTCATATCCCACACCACCCCCACCTCCAGAAATTGATTTCGATAGCAGTAGTAGAAAATCAGGTATTTTTTTTTTAATTTTAACAATTTTTTTATTTCACTTTTGTTTTGCAATTTTTCAAAATCATCGGCAAATTATTATATTATATATTTTTTTGACAATTTTCTCAAAAATGTTGTATTTTTATATAATTTTCTTAAAAATTTGAAAAAAAAAATTTTTTTTAAAAAACCAATCAAAAAAACGTGTTTTAAAAAATTTTTAAAGTTAATTTTTACTAAAATTTTCCTTTATAATGGAAATAAAAAAAAATCAGATTTTATTAAAATACGATAAATTTTTCGGTATATGATATAAATATAATGAGAAAAAAAAACAGATTTTAATTAAATTATGTTAAATTTTGATACATTGTGAAATAATGTGTAATAAAAAAAAAAAAAAAAGAGGGATTGAAAGAAAAGAAAAAAAAAGGATGAGTGATGAATATTGAATTTTCCAATTTGGGAACAGTGCCACCACCTATTCCCCAATGGCTGTCTCAAGAGGACGACGATGAAAACATCTCAGAGGGATATGGAGGGATGCAAGAACCCCCTGCAACTCCAGTCGCACGTGACGAGTTGGCCTTGAGGCGGCACAGGTTTTTCTCAGACTTGTTACAAGCAACGAGAAATTCTGCTGAACATAGAGTGAGCTTCGACCCTCTGGGACCCACAGTTCATCTCGGTTAGGGATCATCAAACTTCATCCCATCAATGTTTTTTTTCTTCTTCACCACCCTTATATATATATTTATATCTTCACACCAGCATGAAAAATTAGTATCACCTTCAAGCAAAATTTTAAAAAGAGAAAATTTTATTAATTAATTAAATTTATTTATTCACAATAACAATTTTCTCAATACAATGAGTAATAAAAAAAAAATGGGAGAAATTACAAATCAATTACTAGAAATGCTACAGTAAAATAAATCTGTATTTAAATAAAATCAGATTTTTGTCTGTAGGCTTTAAAAAAAAAAAAAAAAAAATTCTGTTTTATTTAGTATTATTCGGAGAAATTTTGTTTCATTTATGAAATTATATTTTATTTCGAATTCAATCGTTCTCGAATGAAAAATGAATTTCAATTTTTTTTCTAATTTTGTCTCAATAAAATTGTTGAGAAAAATATTTGCCTCGAAATAAAGTAACGAATTCAAAAATTAAGCTTCGGAAAGTGATTGATTGATTAAAATAGAAACATCGATTCAGAAAGATTAAAATTCTATTTCAAATTGGTAACAATTTGATTCAAAATGAAATTCTGCTGAAGGCGAATAAAAAAGATTCGAATCGAAATAGATTGGTTCGTTAATGAACTTTGTCATATCTCAGAATAATACTCCAATGAAAACTGATTGAATCAAAATTTATATTATTTAAAATACATACTAAATTTCATTAATTTTCAATTTTATTAAAATAAAATTTATACTAAATTAATTTAAATTTTTTGTTATTGAAATCTTTCAATCGAATTCATACTTTTTTTTAAAAAAAAAAAAGTTACTATATACCAGATTTAAAAAAAAAAGAAAATAAAATTATATTTATTAATTAAATTTAGATTAATTCTTCGCGCAAATTGACGCCCACACAAATAACATAAGGAGAATATACACAATTTTCGCGGCTTCTCTAAGAATAGAATCTTATATATTCCAACTTCTCGCATCACTCGACTTTGTCTTTTAGTCCTCCAACAGTTTCTGGAAAGTCAACAAGCACGACATTTTTTATTTTTTAATAAAAAGAAAATTAGAAAGTGTTTCTTCAAAGGAAAGAGCATTAGCTTCTTGTTTGTTTATTTTTGAAACAAAAAAATTTTTTGCTTAATATAAATAATGCAAATGCAAATTTATTCTCTTCCATGCTCTAACATATTCCATCATTTTCGAAAGAATTCTATTTTTATTTTAAATAAACAACTTCATTATTGCTTTTTTCTAATTTCAACATTTTCAGTTCCTTTTTGGCATTTAATTGTAATATTAAATTTTTTTTGTTTTGTTCCATCACGTTTAGAATATTTTAATAAAATAGTTTTTTTCGAAGTTATTATGAGTTGATTGCAACACATTAGTGACCTAGTGGCTGTAGATGTTGACATAACTATTTGTGTGCGCATCTATATTTAATTCGCTCGGAATTTCAATTTTCAGAAAAATATTCCTTTTATAATTTTTGTATTTTTTAATTGAATTTTCCAAATTATTCCTTATTTAAATTATTTTATTTCACATTTTTGCAGTTTATAAAAAAAAATAGTAATTTTAAAAAATGCTTTTTTTTTTAGATATTGCAAATTTATTTATTTTATTATTTAACATGAAAACTTTATTTTAATTAATACGAAATTAATGTTTTTCTTTGTCAAATATCAACAGGTTGCGAGAGTGATGAGAGAGACGAGCACTTGGAGGAATTGGTGACACGACTAGAAAAAGTAACAAGACGCCTCGAAAGAGTACCACAGGGAACACCTGAGACTCAAGAGATTGCAGTACAAACGAAAACTCCCTCACCGGAAAAATCACCATCTCCAAAAAAGTCATCGAAGGACAGTATCTCATCTGAGGATCAGTGCTCACAGGGTTCAACATCTTCAATATCTTCCGCTGCGTCGTCAATTGTTGAAATCAACAACATGTCAGTTGCTGGATATGAAGAGCTTGTCGGCGGTCCAGTTCAGGAATACTTGGCCTTGAGTCAAAAAATTGGGGGTGATGTTACCGCTCACAGTCAACTGGTGGAAAAAGTTTTTCAGTGAGTTTAATTATTTATTTTAAATTAAAACATAATTTTATTATTTCTGTAATTTGCAAGATTGATTTTCCAAAGTAGATATTGATATTTGAATAAAGAATATATTTATCATTTTATTATAGAATTCAACTTGCCTTTATAAGAACAACATCAACTCGGCCAGCACCTGCAAATCAGACCGAACAAGTGTCACTTCTTGGACCAACGTCAACGCAAATTCAACAGATTCAGGAATTTCGGGACAAACACAGAGCATCGCCATTTTTTAATCATTTGTCAGCAATTAGCGAAAGTATCCCTGCATTAGGATGGGTCGCAGTATCTCCAACGCCGGCGCCCTATGTTAAAGAGATGAATGATGCTGGACAATTTTACACGAATCGTGTTCTAAAAGATTGGAAGGAAAAGTGAGAATTATTGACTCTTATTTTTGAAATAGAAAATAGTAACTGAATAGTTAAAATTCAATTAATTTAGATATGGGTATTTCAAAAAAAAAAAAATCTGAAACAAATTCTCAAAAATTAAAAGTTATGCTGAACAGTAACAGAAAAGTACAAAAATTTCCCTAATAATATTTTTCTGAAATATTAATAATTTTTTATCTATGATAAATTTTTATCAGAAAATAATTTGTATTTTTTAAAATCATTCCCAAAATTTGTTTTTGCAATGTTAGGTAAAATTATAATTTTTTTTTTAAATTTGTTAACGTCACAGTAGATTAAAAGTTTTTCACAATACATCCTAAGTGTTAATTCTTTTGTTTTTATAAAAAAAGATAAGAACATTTATGTTGAATTTAATTTTAAATAAAATGATTTTCATGGCCCTAAAAAAAAATTTTTTGAATTTGGTCAAATTTTGGTTTTTTAACACTATTTTCGTAAATCTTAGTGAAAAATTCTTGCTTCAATTTCTTTTAACTTACTCAAAAAAAAAAAAAAAAAACTTTGTGTTAAGATATTGTTTACATCACTTTAATTCTTTAAGAAAATTTTTGTTCATGAAAAGTACAAAAATTAAATAGAAGTTAAAATTATTAAATTATTAATAATTTGAAAAAAATTTAATTTCAAAATTGTTAATTTTTTCGTAGTTGAACTTTTTGAAGTATTCATCTTTTTTATGAAAAAAAGAGAGAAATTTTTATATCTTGGGAAGTAATTAAGTTTGAAAAACTCAATTTTTTAAAAATTTACCTTCTCAATTTTTATTTTTGAATTGCAAAATTTTCAATATTTTTTAAAAAATCTGTAAAAAGGAATTATAGATAGTATTAAAATTTCATTAACGTTCTTCATCATTATTTTATGTATTTAATCGAATTAACGAACATCAAGGACATCAAATTCAAAAAAAGCCACAATTAATGTTGCAACAATAATCGATTTAATGTTCTATATTATTTGATAAACGTTTGTATTTCTAGAATTTAATTAAGGTGTAATAATTCATTTCTTATTTATTTTGAATTTGTCGTTAATTTATAATTCGATTTTTATTTCAGTTTTTGTGAGAAATTATCCAGAGTTTCAAGGTTTCATTAGCTTGACATTTTTGTTATTTAAATTTTTTCTAATTTAATTAGAATTAAAAAATTATTTAATTATAATTTTGATTCATAAATTGAATTTATTTATTTCGATTTATAATTTGGTGTTTTTGTTTTAAATATTAAATATAATTAAATTTGTTGTTATTGCATCTAAATATCGTTAATAAATCTTTTCTCATTTTAGAGTGAAATGTATACTACCAAACACATTTTCCCATACTAGGTTACGTGGGAGTTCCCACATACCCTTAAACCTGAAATTTGTTCAGCTTACTTTTTGCTTTTTAAAAAAGAATATAAAGAAATCTAAAGTTTCTAGACTCGAGAAAAGTGTTTTCTTTTTTAAATTAACAATTGAAATGCCCATAATAATTTTTTTAATTCAAATTGTATATTCATTAAAATATTAGGATTATTGTTAATTTGTGTGTTTTTTTTTTTAACAAATGTCGATTATTAATTTTTTTTTATTAAAATAATTTTAGAGACAAAACACATGTTGACTGGTGTAAAGCATGGATACAGACATTGGCGGAGTTGCAGCAATATGTGAGAAAACATCATACAACGGGATTGGTGTGGGCAAAAGGTGGCGCAGTTCCTCCACCTCCTGCAGGTGTTCCTCCTCCACCACCGTCGATGCCACTTGGTGATGTTGCACCAGTTTTAAATGACGATCGTAGTGCACTATTTGCCCAAATCAATCAAGGAGAAAATATCACTAGAAGTAAGTTATCATAATAACAAATTATTATTTTTAATTTAAAAAATACTAGATTTGATTTATTTAAAAATAATCAAAATTAAATTCACTTTATAAAATAGGAAATTATATGTTATATAAAAATACATTGATAAACAAATGTGAAAACTTTTCTATATTTACAATTTTTTTTTTTCAGATTTGAAGAAAGTTACATCCGATATGCAGACACACAAGAATCACAATCTGAGGACTGGACCAGCACCATTTAAAGCACCAGCGACGGCCAATTCTGGATCTCCAATGAAAACCACTTTACCCGCTAATGCACCCATCGATAAACCTCCAGTTTTTACTCGCGATGGAAAAAAATGGCTTGTGGTAATTTAAAAAAAAAAAATCATTTCTTATCATTTCTATCAATTTTTTGATTAATTTTTGCTATTAAATTAACAATTTTTTTTCTAGGAATATCACAAGGGTAATAAGAATTTAGTAGTGGAAAATGCGGAAATGAATAATGTCATCTACATGTTCCGCTGTCAAGAAAGTACGTTAGTTGTTAAAGGAAAAGTAAATTCGGTCGTAATGGATTCCTGCAGAAAATCTTCCGTTGTTTTCGACTCACTCGTATCAAGTATTGAGTTTGTTAATTGCCAAAGTGTACAAATGCAGGTTAGTAACATATGCATTCTTAATAATTTTCTTGATACACAAAAAAAAAAATCCAATATTAAAAAAAAGAAATACCTGAAATCGAAAATTAAAATAAACGATCATCGTTACAAGTGTTCAACCAACTAATTTCACTGATGAGAAATATTAATGGACTTGATGGCAAGATGCTATTCTTGAAAACCTAAACCAAGTTTACTGCAAAGTGAATGCATTTTTTTCAATTGCTCGAGATTTGAATCTTGATTTAATAAATCGAGAAGATGTATATATTCATCTTTAGTTAATTCTTCTGGGACGTCGAAAATTTTAAATCTATTACCATCGCGATTTTCATTGTTGCATAATTGTGGAAAATCAGAAATTGATGTACTATTATCCATTACTGATGGTTTCACGGAAACTTCACGTTCTTTTTGTTCAACGTGAAATAAAACACGATTGAGATGATTTTTCTTTAATTCTTCATCAAAATTTGAATTTTTTTCCTTATTAGTAATTTTCATTTCACGATCTTTCATGAATTCAAGGAATTTTTTTGGATTCACAACTTTTCTTGTACTTTGATCATGTCCTGTCATTATATTAATGTAAATATAGGTTTTCTCATCTGGTTTTGAATGTTCTTCATTTTGTAAATATGTTCCAGTATTATCGCCATAACTTTTTTCATTATTATTATTATTATTATTGTTCTGCTCGGAAAGATTTATTCCGTCATTCAAATATCTCGTGACTTTGTAATCTAATTCATCGGGTGCAGGATTTATTGTCAATGGACCACGCGTTGGACTTCGATATCGTGGTTTTGGTTCTTTTCGAATATTTTCTAATCGACTTTTTAAAATTGGAATATATGATTTTGATGATTTTTGCAATTCCATTGATTTTAATGAACTTCTCGAAGTTAATTGTCTTTCTATTGGATTTTTCAAATCTTTACAATATTTATCTTTACTGTCTCCATTAAAATCACGTTGAATCATTCTTGGTGATGCAAATGATCGAGATCTTCGTTGTAGTGGATTCTCTGATTTTTCCTTATTTAAATTTAAATTTAAATAACTTTTTGCTCTTAATTGTTTAATAGATGAATTTATTATTTTTTCGTTGTTGACAAATTTTTCCATTAATTTATCCCTTGTGATTGAATTTTTTTGTGATTTTGTCAAATTTTCTGGTGTTTTTTTCATTTTTTCATTGTTTAAATTATTTATGGTGGAACTTTTTTTGGTATTATCTTGTAGAGCAGGAGCACTAGTGCATTGGGAAAATTTATTTTCCGAACATTTTGTCTTAATTGTTTGTGAATTGTTTGTTGATTTTTCATAGAGACTATTTCCACTTGTACTTAGATAATTTTGACTATTTGTTAATGCGAAAGACTCGGAATCACTTTGATTATTGTTTAAATTTAATTCATGAATTGATGGAATTTTATTTGGAATTAGACAACATTTATTTTCATTATTTTTCTCTTCGAGAATTTCATCGAGAATATTGAGTTTTTCATTATCGGGAATTTGGGTTTTTGTCACAGGTTTTGATGTGTCGTTAAATAAATCAATTAACATTACTTCTTTTTGTTCTTGAATTTCTTTCTCGTGAATTTTAGCTTCTTTTTCGTGACGTTTTGTTTTTCGTTTAGTTTCCTCATTGTTTTCTAGGGATTTATTATTATTTTTCAAAATTACCTCCTGTGCTTCTGGATTCATTTTTGAAAGTTTAATAATTGATAAATTTTCTTTCGATTCGGAAGAAGTACTTGGATTCGAAGTTTGGAAATTATCATTTTGATTTTGACTTTTTAGATTTTTAATAGGATCTTTTTTCATTTTTAAAATTTCATTTATTGATTTATCATTGTTATTCTTCAAAATTTGTTGTTCATTTTTTAATTCTTCTTTATCTGTTTTTATTAATAATTGAGAATCGAATGCCAATTTATTTTCACTATTTTCTTGAATATAAATTTGCTCATTCGTTTTACTAATATTAATATTTCTCGTTTCATTTTTTTCATTTTGAAAATTCGACGTAATTTCCGAATTTGAAGGTGTATTGGTGTTTAAGGATTTGAATATATTTTCTTTTGATTCATTGTTTGTTAGAGAAAATGATCCTGGACGTCTTTGAAGTGATAAAACACTTTCTTGTTCTTGTGCTTCTTCAATGTTGAATAATTTTTCATTTGATTTTGTAAAATTATTATTAAATTTTGTCTCTTTGAATACATGAGCTGTTTTCACTTTATCACTTGTTAATTCTCTGATAAATTGTACTATACTTTCGTCACTTGATGAATCATTTGTTGATGTGAAATTTCGATTTATTCGTTTAATTTCAGAATCAATTTTATAATTTTTGCATTCAATTTGTTTTTCTTCCATTTCTTTTGTCAATTCCTTATATTTTTCTTCGTACAGTTTTTCTTTTAATTGTTCTTCTTTTATTTCTGTTTTATCTTGATTACTTTTTTCCTTTTTTAGAAATGTAATTTGTTTACTGTTTGGATAATGTTTACAATCGTTTACATTTTTCTTCTCTTGACTCAAATTATCGACTGTTTTATTAATTATTAGCGATTGATTATCAATTTGAAATTCATTATTATTTTCCCATAATTCGGGTTTTAAATTTTTCGTGATTTTTTCTTTATGAGATAAATTGACAAAACTAAAATATTCTGACGAAGCGGAACTAAGTAGAGTTTTTGAATTTTCACACAAATTTTCATTTTCTTCGTCAGATTTTTTACTTGTTGATTCAGTTAGGCTACTTGCTGATTGTTCCTCGGGAAGAATATCAAGAAATTTTGTTTGAAATACATTTTTTCTATTCAAACTGTCAGAATCATTAGTATCGGAAATTTGTGGATTATTTTTATTAGTTTCTCCACTATTTGAAATATTTTTGTTATTTACTTCTTCTAGATTTTGAATATTTTCATTATTTGTTTCTATTATATTCTTGTTATTTGTCTCTAAGCTTTTTAAAATTTTGTTTATTTTCAAATTTTTGGAAATTTTTTCCTTATTTATTTCTAATTTTCCTTGAGGGAAAGGATTATTTTTGTTTTGTAAAGATGGTAATTGATTATCTAAAATTTCATTATTCGATAATTCTGTTTGACTGGAAGATTGTGAAAATTGATCGTCACTTGTGTCCATTGGAATGACCTCTTGATTTGTATTGTTTTCTATTTGAGACATTGTTTTTTGATTGATATTTAAATTTTTATCGAATGACTCAACTAATAAATCGGATTTAACTTCTAAAATGTTGGTTTTTGATTTAATTTTTGTAAAAGTATTACTAGAAATTTTACTCTCGGTTTCTAAAATTTTCTCTGTTTCTTCTTCATCACTTTCGAATTCTGAAAATTCAGTTCGATTATAATTAGAATCTGTAATTATTTTGTTTGATTTATTAAACAATTTTGAATTAATTTCGACAATTGATGAAGAACAACTATCAACTAAACTTTCAAATTGTTCGGATTCATTACTGTTTGGAATTTCTTCAAATATTTTATTTTCTTTTTTTTTTGTTTTTAAATTTGATTTATTTAATTTTTTATCATTATTCAAAATGCCACTTTTATTTAAAGGGCAATCTTGTTCACAATCACTTGATTCGTAAGTGAGTAAAATGTCGTGTAAATTTTTCAATTTTTCTTTGACTTGATCGAGTGTTTCTTGAGTGGTTGTTAAATTGGATTTGTCATTTGATGGTCTTGATTCGGTTTTTGCAAGGAAAATAATTTTTGAATTAGACAAATTGGAGTCTTTTTTTAATGTGTCATCTGTTAATAATTGTATCTTATTTGTTGAGTTCATTTCATTTATTCGCAATTCTCGACTGTTTTCTGTTTTATTTGATTTCTCCATTTTAAGAGGCTCCAGTTTTTCTAAATGTCCTTCATCAGCTATTTTTGTCCTGCAATTTATGTCACTTTCCTCTTTCTGATCACTGTCGTCTCTTTTCAACTAAAACATATAAATTATTCTATTATTTTTATTTTTTACTTTTTTTATTTTAATTTAATTTAATTTATATTTTGATTTAATAATTATTGTATAGTTTTTAATTTACCCGATTATTCTTGCATAAACGTTTTGCTGAACAATTATTTTCTGGAAACTCGGATAAACTTTTATCTAATTCTCGAATTTGATTATAATTGTCTAAATTTCGTGAACGTTTTTTTCTTTGTTTATTAACTTGTGATACTTGAAAAGTACAGTTCAAATTTGAATTAGTTCTACTATTTAGTATTGACGAATTGTTTTTCGAGATTGTAGTAAATTCTATATTTCGATGACTTTGATTTTCTCGTTCAGGAATTTGTATTTTATTATTAGAACTGAAATATCTTTTACACCTTTCCCATTCGCTATTGACAAAAAAAAATCAAATTTATAAATATATTAATTTTTTTATGCAATTATTTGACAAATTTATTTTCTTTTTTTAAATTTTTGTATTAAATTATTATAAACCTTAGTGAATTGTCACCGCTGCTTTTGTCGGTCATATCCCCAGATTCGATTGATGGGATTTGATTTTGAAATTTTGAAGATATATATTTTGTTTCTAAATCGACTAATCGACTTAAATTCGTTACAGAGGGTACTAAATTTCTATTGGCTAAATTGTAGTCTTTAATTTTTCTTGAACTGAATATTCAAACGGTTTGTAATTTATTTAATTTTAATTTCGACAATTTATTTGTTATTTTTAATGAGAATTCTTACCTTAATAACAAATGCTTGATCCAAGAATTTCTATCCTCCGAATTTGTTAATGTTAATCTAATGTTTTGCAATTCACTTTTTCCATCAGATTTGCAGATATAGTGGGGCAATGGCCACGTGCCATATTGCATTTTGTACGTTAATATGTTTACCTTTAATTCCAGATCTTGAACTTTAAAACCAACTTTGTTTAAATTTTCTTTATTACTCGATTTTTCATCCACCCAACGAATTTTGTAATACATAGTGTGTATTAAAATTATAAGAACTACTAAAGCCATTAGTACCTTAAAAATGTACTATTATGAAAAAATTGTCAAATTTATAAGATTTTTTTGATGAGAAACAACTAAATTTAATTACACACATACACACCTTCCAAATAAAAACGTCGTCTGTTAAATAATCCACAACTTCGGTTACAATTTCGGACCATAAATATTTCGAAGTTGCCATTATACATTTTCTCCAATTTTCCGTACATATCACACGAACAGATTGAAAATTGCCACCTATTTTAATTTCAACAAAAATTTAGGTTAAAGATTTTATTGGAAATTTTGCAAAAATTATTTTATCAACGAGATAAACAAATTTCACTAACCAAATTGCCAACGCATATCAACAATTTTCATACAGATTGATAAATAAAAATGAAATTCGTTTTTGGATATTATACTTTATCATTAAATTAGTTGGGAACTTGTCATCTTTGACGGTTTATTCTTCATAATCACATTACATATTTATTATTCTTGAAGTTGATGACAATTGCATGTCGATTATTTATTTTTGATTTTAAAATTTAAAAATATAATAAGTTCAAGTTTGACATTAATTTTTCTTATTCAAAAAAAAAGAAAAGTATTGTGAATTTATTTCCTTTAATGATAATTTATCAATAATTATTATATTATTAATATTAGTGTAATTATTTTGTAATTAAAATTTTTTTTTTTTAGGTACTTGGAAAAGTTCCAACAATTTCTGTTGATAAGACAGACGGTTGTCAAATGTATTTAAATCAAGAGTCGATGAATGTAGAAATAATTTCTAGTAAATCAAGTGAAATGAATGTCATGGTCCCGAAGGGAAATGGAGATTATGTAAGTAATTTTTTCATTCTTACCATTATTGCTTATTGTGTTTTACTTTTTTCCATTTAACAATTAATTAAACATTGTTTAAATGTAAAATTAATTTAATTACAGACTGAATTGGCAGTGCCGGAACAATTTAAAACGACTTTAAGTCCCAAGGGTCTCACCACTGTCGCTGTTGATTCTCTCGGCTAAATTATTGGTATTTCGCTGCTTTGTAGTCTAAAAATCTGACTCTATAATTTAAAAATTAATAAGCGATACGATTTTTCGATATCACCATAGCATGATATGTAATTTATTTTCATTTTCAATTAAGGCTTACGAGCAAAAAAAAAAAAAAAAAAAACTCGTAAATAGATTTATATAAAACAAAGGACTGACTTTTGGTCTTTTTAAAATGAAATTTATCATTCTATTATAAATTTTTTTTATTATTATTTCATTGCTATTTATTAGCTTTTTCAAAGGATTTTGTCAGTTTAGTAAAATGAATTTGAGATAAATTAAATAGTAATTATAGAAATTGTCTTTTTACATAAATTGCTGGGTTACAAAAAAAATTTTCTAAAAACGTACAACTAAAACTAGACAATTTTTTTCTAGCAAGTATAGCATTTTTTTCGAAAATCACTTTTAATTATGACTATAGTGTGAGAGAAATAATAGATTTGTTTTCAGAAAAAAAAATAGAATGAAAATTATGTGGATATTTGAGGTCGTGTATTATTGCTCGAGGCGTTAAAACTTCTTAATATTTATAGTAACAAAAAAATAAATAATCTTTAGTGCATGTTTTTTAATAGTATGGAATTTTTTTTATCCAAAACCATATCTTTTAATTTTTACACTAACAGTATAATACAATTATATTGATTTTAATTCAACAAAAACCTTTCTATTATTTATTTTGTGAAAAATTTTTATAAATAAATAATATTTATTTTATGAGAATTGAATAAAATAAAATTTTATGTTCTAAATTAAAAAATTTTAAACAAATGAGAATTTTTAACGACTCGATCAATAAACATTTTTAGAACACGACTTTAAGTTTGACTGCTCGCAATCAAGGACTTTTTTTTTTCCTCAAAATTGTAAGCGAGATATTTCGCCTAATATTTTGCTCAAAGGAGCAAAAAGATACTATACTTTTATAGTACGATAAAAGGTGTTCAAAGCAGTCTGACAAAAGTGAAAATAATTCTCTTCCCGCACTTTTATACATTTACACAATTTTTCTATATAATCGTAATTCAAACTTTTGTCTAGACTCGCGATTTTTCAAATTGAAGACCTTTTCGCCCTGGAATTGTTTAACAAAAAAAATTTCATTTTGTTTTTTTAGAAAAAAGAAGTTGAATAGAATGCACACCAAGTGGCTTTTAAGAAAATAATTGAATTGAATACTGTATTTGTACAATTGTCGAAATAGATCGACATAAAAAAAAAAAATAAAAACAAATTGTAAACTAACGCACGATATTGTAAAAATAATAAATAACGATAACAATAATAGAAATAATTAACAATAATAAGCAGTAAATTATAATAATACTTAATTATAACAACAATAATAATTATAATAAGAATATTATTGTTAATAGAGTTTATTAATTAAAAAAACAATAATGATTGTTAATATTGTTACTTACAATATCGTGTGTCACACTTTTTTTTCTTATTGATATTCTAGTAATTTTTAGAGTTCGATAATCACGGAACTTTTGTTCCACATACAATTTACTTTGTGAATCATATTCGATTTTAAAATCGAAACACTGTATACTAAAAACATTGATAAAATTGTAATTAATAGAATATCTCGCATCAGAATTAAAATATTTTCCAATTTTTTTGTTTAATATTATTAGATAGTGGGAATTTATATTGCTTAAAAGCAAAATAAAAAAAAAAGGAAATACATTGCAATATATTGTAATGTCTTTCTAATTTTGTTTTAAAAAATAGTCTTTTCAAATTGACGAGTTTTTGTCGAAGCACTTTTAATTTAAGTTTAAATTTAATTTGAGCTTTGAAAGTTTTTTTTTTTAAAGTCGTGTCTAGATAGAACACTACCATCTTTGAATTCCTGTTTCGGTGCGAGCAAAGGTCAAAAACAAAAATAAATAAATAATGTGCAGGAAATATCGATTATTATTGATCGAAATCATATTTAATCCAACGAAACAATTGCTGTAAAGTGGTTTTTTCGCACATACGAATTTCCTAGAAATGAAGATTAGATTAGCGATGAAGGAATGACGTAACAGATCAAAAAAAAAAGAAAAGAAAAGAAAAAAGAAGAGAGGGTTTCGACTCTAATATTTAAAATTTAAAGAGTTTTTAAGGAAATAATTTTAAATATCCTTTTTAATTCCAGTAAAATCTCCTAATAAACTGTTCAGCCTTTGTTTTTGTGAAGAGATTCATTTCTTCATAATGTCATCCATTTAAAATCTCTTCTCTCTTAATAAAACGAAAATTATGCTATGTGTTTTGTTCTTACTAATCCTGACTTTTTATCAGTTTGAAACAATTTGAAAAATTAAAATTTAAATAAAAACAAGTTTTTAGTAAAATAAAAAAATTTTTTTTTTATATTTTAATCATATTTTTTAAAAAAAATTATAATTTTGAACTCTAAATTTAAATAATATGAAATAAGGAATTAAAATTAGTTTTAAAATTTCTTTTTTTTTTTTTTATTAAAACGTATTATTTTAAAATAGATTATTTTACACTTAAACAGTAAATTATAATTATTATTTTTTAAATATGTACAAGTAAGACTGAGTTATAAAATATCTCTTTGTCCAAATTATAAAAGTCTAACAATTTCTATATTTATATATTTATATATCTCAACTGAGAAGTCAAAATATTATATCTCAACGAGATTTTACAAATATCACAAACAGTCTATGAACTCTTAAAAAAAAATAAGTTTGTCATTAGTTTGTCTCTTATTACAATATAAAAGGCAGAGTAGAATATTTTCTAAATTTTAAATTAATTCTTTAATTATTAATTCAATTAAAAATTAATTAACAATGGATAATTTAATTGTATAATTAATTCCATTTGATTTTAATTTAATTTTTTAAATTAAGTAACAGTGATCAACTATTATTTTTCAGAATATTTGTGAATGAAAATAATTGTTTTCGATTAAATGTCACTTTTTTTTTGTACATTTTTTTCTCGTTTTGAGAAATGGATTTTTTTCTTCTTCAACATTACAGTGTTAATTATAGAAGAATAATGTGACAAATTTTTTAAGTAACACAGAATTGATTGTCGCAAATCATTGTGTGTTTAATTATTAAAAACGATTTTGTGCGTTTTAATTGTCTCGATAAATTATGAAAAAAAAATATGGAAGATCAGTCTTTTCAAGATTGATTTGTCGTACAATTGCGCTCATCACTGCCATCGGAACATTCGAGAAATCCATTACATATTCTCGATTTTGGTAGGCATTCTCCCAAGGGACATCTGTGACCTTTGCAAGAAGTCATCATTGGCGGAATTTCCTTTCGACTTATCGTTCGTTCCATCCATGGCAAATAGTGATAAACTTTTGTATAAACTCCCGGTCTTCCTGGTCTTGCGCATCCATAACCATTGGAAGTCAAACCTGTGATGGAAAAATCATTACTTTTAAAATTCAACAACTATATTAATATATTTGGTTTTTTTTTAAATAATTTTTTACACAATGGAAATTATATTTTTTTTGTTTAATTTGATTTTATGTCTTTTTTTTACTAAAAAAAATAAACAGTTACTAATATGCTTGTCGTTTAATATTGATATGAGATAACTATTAAATTATTTCAGGAAATTGCAATTTTATTTTCAATAGAAAAGTTATTTTACCATGAAGAGTGAATCTGTTATCAGATTCTGAACAAACGAGTGGACCTCCACTGTCTCCTAGGCAAGCATCTTTCCCACCATCTTTCAAGCCAGCACAAAGCATTCCGGACGTGATTCTATAAAGAGGCAGAAATAGTGTCTTTCTTCGACAATCCTCCGTGGAGATTAAAGGAAGTTCCGCTTCTTGAAGAGTGTCAGCTGGGGGGAAAAAAAAGGTAAATATACATATATATTAGATGAATAATTCAAGATTTGTCTCTTGCTAAACGTTAATTCCAAAAAATTTTCCAATTTTAAAAATTCATATTCAAAAATATAAAACAATGATTAAAAAAATTTTTTTCTAATAAAACTTTTATCAGAGATTATTTTTTAATTCTTTCAACTACTAAGTTACCTAACATTTTTATTTAAATTATTATTTTTACAATAAGAATTTTACTTATAAAAACAAAAAAAAAAAAAAAAAAAATTGGAAATGTGTAATAATTAAAAGGCTAAGAAAATCTATAAAATTACGCGAGGAAAAAAAAACAGCTTACGAAATATTCGTCCAATTTCAAATAACTGTCCCCATCCGGTGACGGTACACATTGTTCCACTTTTTGGCTCGGATTCTGGTAGACAAACAGGTCGAACATAATCGCTGAATGTTACAGGAGCCTCAAGTCTCAAGAGAGCTATATCATTAATAAATCCATTATCAATGTAATCAGGATGCAATGAAATGTAATCCAATCTCAAAAGTTGTTCATGAGGACTAGGAAAATTGCCTTTACGAGTCGCTCCAATTCTCGCCACCCAATGTTCATTTTGAGCACTGAAAAAATTTTTGCCCAAATTTATAAATTTTTGATATTTTACAATTTTTATCTTAAAATTTAATTGAAAATGATTTAAAATTTTTCGATTTATTTTAAATAAAAATAAAAAGTATTAGAGCAAAGAATTGGAATGCTAAATTTTAAGGACTACCACCTACTTAAGAAACAGTCTCGAAAACTTACTGATAAAAACAGTGCCCGGCTGAAAGAACCCATCTGTCATTGATAAGAGCACCTCCGCACTGATAATCGCCCTCTTTGTAAAGCGCAACCTGCCAGGGCCAACTACCTGCTGAAGAACTACCGCCACCGACGATTCTGTAATGTCGAGATAACGATCTACTTAAATATTTTTGTTACTCAAGAAAGATCCTTTAAAAGAATTCCTCTCACTTTATACAGTGATCTCTTTTTTTTTTTTTTTGGCAAAAAGATTCACAGGAAATATGAAATCGAATTATTTATTACACTGAAAGAATTTTCTTAATAAATTGTTTTGTCAAATATTAAAAAGAAAAACGTCAAAAGCAGAACTTCTTTTTTCTACACTTCAAACTAATCCAAATAAGCTTTTCTTTAAAGAGTAAAGTAGCTCCATCTAGCGTAGTTACATTAAAGTTTTACAATCACGAATATAGTTTGCAGATAGTTTGACGAAGATGACTTCCAGTGGCTACATATTTGTGTTTTAATATCATTTTAAATTATATTTTAATGTTTCTAATCTTTAAAATTATTTGATCTGATCTTGATATTTGATTAAGGAAGTAAATGGAGAATATAAATTATATGTGAGTGTCATAAACGAATCAAACATCGGACGACATAACCTCAAAATATTTAAAGGTAATTTAAATTAGTTTTTTTGGAATAAATTTAAAATTAGCGTTTTTCTAAACAGGTATATTATACATAAAGTACAGTGTGCATTTTGTACAAAAGAAGTATTCTCCGACTAGTTTGATTGCTGGGTGAACAAAGCAAAATAAACTGTCATTTGCAGAAAACTGCTTCTTTTCGTACTTACTGCGTACAATTATAAATTTTTTAAATAAATTTCATTTTCTTTCAGTGTAAGAAATTTGTTTTAAATTTAAATTTTTTTTTTCCATTACAATGAAATTGGTTTAGTACCTTGCTTGGGACAAAACTTGTGTTCTGATTCCACACTCGAGATTTTTGCATTTCACTTTGAGAACTTCTCTACTGGGACATGTTGTGGGTTTAAAAGTTAAACTCGGCTTATCTGATATTTTGTCGTTAAGTGATAAACTATAATAATGGCGATCGATCAAAGTCAAGTCTTCCTTAACTTTTTCCACCCTCTCATAATCTCTGTAATTAAAAAGAATTTTTTTTTTTAAGTTTGTCGTTAAATTTTAATTAATATAAGATAATGATCATCATATAGGATAGAATTAGTATAAAATTTTGTAAATTAATGTTAGAAAATTATAATGAATTCAAAAATTAATTTTCCCGTGGTATGAAAGAATATATTATGGGCGATTCCACGTGAGATTTACATATGAAATTTTAAATTCGGTAAATATATTTTTTTTTCGATCTTTATAGAAAAAAAGATTTACGTATTTTTTTTCTTTTTTTTATAAGTGCTCAAATTTTTGAGTTATGAATTTTTAAAAATTTAATTTTTTCGAGTTTTTTTAAAATACACCTAATTTCAATGACATCTAACTCTAAAAGCATTGAATTTACGAATTATGACCAACATACAAAAAAGTTTCAGTTTTTCATCGACTTTCAAAATATGTTAACGGAAAAAAAAATTTTTGAATTTGTTTATAAAAAACAGCAATTTTTTATAAATAAATTAAATTTTTTTTAATTATGGGCGATTTTTTTTTTTATTTTTACACACATGAAAATAAAAGCAAAATTTTATAATAAGTTTTGGAGTGGGCCTGATGATCCTTTTGTTTATATAATTTGTTTAAAAAAATTTTTTTCGGTTTTTTTTTTATTTTTCGAAATGAAAAGTGTTTTGAGCACTAGGATCTTTTAGTAAACTCATTGAAAATACATTTTATTTTGAAAAATAAAAAAAAAACGAAAAAAAATAAATTTTTTTTTTAAACAAATTATATAAATAAAAGGATCATCAGGCCCACTCCAAAACTTATTACAAAATTTTCCTCTTATTTTCATGTGTGTAAAAATAAAAAAAAAAAAATTAAAAAAAATCACCCCTAAATTAAAAAAAAATTTAATTTGTTTATAACTTATAAAAAAATATAAAAATACGTAAACCTTTTTTTTCTATAAAGATCGAAAAAAAATATATTTACAGAATTTAAAATGTCATATGTAAATCTTACGTGGAATCGCCCATATATAATTAATTTGTCAATTTTCTATAATTTAGATAAAAATCTTGGGACTTAAAATGAGACTCACTGATAGGTAATGGCTTTACAGACGGCTCTTCCTAAATCTTCAACAGTCCAAGACGTTTGTTTTTCAAGCATTAAATTATTAATATTTTCCAGACAAAGTTTGCCCCATTTTCCATTTTTTCTCACATGCAAGAAACCCCTGTCATTATAATTATACACTTCACGTTGATTACTATTTTTCATAAAAGAAATTCCATCTTTGGCATTTGTCTGAAAGGAATTTTGAGAATTTAAACTAGTTTTTGAATTTGAATCAATTTCTCTACCTGAAGCAACATCAGTGACATTTTTATCATGGGAAAATGAAATATAATCAGCTTCAGTTGAATTATTAGTCAATTTTTCTTCATCATTTCCCTCATTTTGAAAAGTTGTACTTTCAAGAACAAGAGATTCAACTGCTAGTTGATCATAATCAAAGGGTGTTTCAAAAATTTGTTCATCTTTAGCTGATTTTTCAGAATTGATACTTGGAATATTGAAAGAATTTTCATCTTCTATTTTATCATCTATTAGAGCAGCACATTTTTTCTCGTCCTCACCATCTGGACAATCTCTAATGCCATCACAAACTTTATTTTGATCGATGCAAAATCTATTGTTTCCACAAACGAATTGTCCTTCCTTGCACCAAACTTTATGAGAAAAATGAAACATTTTTTATTGTTATTTTAATTAATTATTGTTAATAATTTATGAGCCAAAAATTCTGAACGTTCAAATACGAAGCTGAAGTACGCAACGTTTATGATAAACGATTTTTAAAGAAATAATTTTTTAAAATGTAAAATTCTATAATTTTTTGCCTAAAAAATATTTTTTTAATAATTTGATTAATGAAAACTACAAGAAATATTTTTTAGGCGAAAAATTATAGAATTTTTCATTTTAAAAATTTAATTCTTTAAAATCGTTTATCATAAACGTTGCGTACTTCGTGTTCAAATGAACAAAATATTTTTTTCAATCAATAAATTATTAAAAATTATAATGTAAATGTAAAATAAAACAATAAATTAAACAAATATTAAATTAATAACTTCGTTTTAGATATATTTAAAACAATATTTTGTAATAAAATTCGTACTTAAAGAAGTTGCAAAAATAATTTCGTTTATTTGAACGTTCAAAACTTTTGGCTCATAATAATTTTTAATCTTTAGTGTTTATTTTTTATATAAGAAATTTCATTTTTTTTGTATAAATAATTTTTTTTATTGAAAATTAAATATAGAGACAATTTTGAATGGAAATTAAATTGGAAAATATTTTTACATTTTTTTTTTGCAGGTTTTTTAAATTTTTTTTAAAATTATTAATTGCTTACCGCAATTTGTTTCGTCGGAATAATCCCAGCAATCGGGAACACCGTCGCAGATTTTTTGATGAAAGAGCTGTGCCTTAAGGAAATCTGCACAGGTGCAATTAGCCTCATCTTCGGAATTTGTACATTCACTTAACATATTGCATCGAGCACCAAATGGCAAACATTTTCCATCGCTACACCGGAAACCAGTACATTTTTCTGCTGGTAAGATAAAAATTATTTTTAAACATTTTACTTTTTTTATTAATATTATTTCTTGAGAAATAATTAAAATAATAAACGTAAATTTTTATTATTTTTCATTTACAATTTCTTTTATTTCATTTTTTTTTCTTATATTATTTCTAAAGGAAATCAATTTTACACGATAGATTTTTCAAAAAAATTTGGAATTAAAAAAAAATTAAATAAATACAAAATCTCAAAAAGGTCAAAAATTATTTTTAAAAAATATTTATAGTTTATAAAATAGTTTTAAATTCTTTATAATGATGAAAGAAAAATTGGCTTTACTGATCATGAATTTTAATTATTATATTAGATTAGGGTGGCTACCCAACCTTGAAACCTTGAAAACCGGGAAAATAACGATGAATTTTTAGTTATGCCTTGAAAAACTATACATAAATTCATCTTTAATTTTTTCTCTTAAAATTTGAATTTTTCAAAATCTTATGAGCCAAAAGTTCTGAACGTTCAAATGAACAAAATATTTTTTTCATTGTATAATAAATATTAAAAATTATAATGTTAATGTAAAATAAAACAGTAAATTAAACAAATATTAAATTAATAACTTCGTTTTAGATATTTAAAACAATATTTTGTAATAAAATTCATACTTAAAGAAGTTACAAAAAAAATTTTGTTCATTTGAACGTTCAAAACTTTTCGCTCATAAAATTTTTTTTTTTCAAACATGACGTTTCGACTTTTTTTTTGAAATTAAAAATTGTGGTGAATTATGTAAAAAAAAATTTATTTACGATAGAGTTTTTTTTTATAAAATCAAAATTTGACCAAGAATTGTGAAAACAAATCTTAGAACTGATTTTTTAACAAAAATAAATTCTTAAAAATTGAAAATTGCATTAAAAATACTTCCAATAATTTTATTTTTGCAATTTTTTATTTAAAGTCAATTAATTAAGATTTAAATTAGTAATGATTGTTTTTTTTAAATAATTGAATATTGATAAATAATAATTAGATGCCAAAAAATTGAATAATAACAAATAGTTTTTATTTTTCAATTTAATTTAAAAATGTAATTGTTTATTGTCATAATTGTAGTTTTTAACATTATGTACGTTATTTTTGATGAGCTAAATGTTTTGAACGTTCAAATGAACGAAATTTTTTTTCAACTTCTTTAAGTACAAATTTTATTACAAAATATTGTTTTAAAAATCCAAATAAAAGTTATATAATTTAATAATTGTTTAATTTATTGTTTTATTTTACATTGACATCATAATTTTTAATAATTTATAGATTGAAAAAAAAATATTTCGTTCATTTGAACGTTCAAAACTTTTGGCTCATTATTTTTGAAAATGACGATTCTATACAGAATGACACAATTTTTGAAACAAGGTCACAAAACTGTTAGAAGAGTATAATATATTTTTTTTTTAATTTCAATAAAAATTCGTAACACTGGCCTGCCTTTGTAATATTTCCCACAAAGAATAATGGTAAATAACAGTTTGACTTGAAACAAGTCTTTTATGCAAAAATATGAAACAGAAAATTATAATCATCTAATTGTAGACTTCAGAACTAGGTTTCAAGACCGTTTGGTAATAATCTCACTGAGTATTGTGGAAAAAAAACTTCATTATAGAATTTAGATTTTCAAACCAATTGTTCGTATAAACTGAAGGAAATTTTTTGTTTAAAATAAAAAAAAAACGAAATATAAAATAAAAGATTAGTAAAAATTAACAAGCATGAATTTTTCTTGAACAAAGGACTAATTATATTAATTACTCTTTTTTTTTAATTAATGATGAACTAATTAAATTATGTTTTTTCAAAAAGTACTTAAAGTAATTAAATTAATTACATTTCTCTATGTTATTTATTGACGAGTTGTTTTTTTTCGGAAATGAATTCTTACCTGTACTTTGAAGAATATTTTCTTCAGTTGTCGATATTTTTTTATCAATTCGCTCATCTTTCTTTGTGAGGACTTTCATCATCACTTCAACTCCATCGCGACTGACAGTGAAACTCGATGAACTATTCTTGAAAATTGTTGTCTCATTACCAGTTGTAATGTCGGCAATTTTTTTCAATTCATCAACATTTGTCGACGTCGCAGGTTGTTGTGAATCTTTAATTTGTGTATTGTAATTATTTTTAATAATTTTTGGTTTAGATGTACCTGAATCGTCAACAGTTCTTACATCAGCAAATTGTTTCAATTGATCAATAAGAAATTGATTTTGTTGTCCATTTGATGTTTTTCTATCTGATGTTTGCATTGTGGAAGAATCATCACCTGACCATGCAAATAATTTATCCCTGGATTTATTATTATCATCATCATCATCATCATTTTGAAATGATCGAGTTTCGATAATTTCGACTTTGCCAAAATTTTGTGAATTCTTATTAGTTGTGGATTGTCGTAAATTTACATTACCTAAATTAGTGATTCCTAAATGTTTATTTGCTGTTGTTTTATGTTCGGTTGTGATATCCATTTTTCGTGTTGCTTCAGGTGCCGTTGTTGTGGAGGAATTTGTGACAATGAGCTTGAGAGTAACTGGATTTCCCTGAATACTTGATGACACTTTAGTGCTAATGGATGTGACAACTTCGATAATTTGCTCGACACTTCCATTTTCATGATTCAATGGTTTAACGACTTTTGTTATATTACCTTTTCCAATGGGTGGTAATGGTGGTGGTTCCCTTGCCAATAATTGTAAATTGAATAGTCTATTTAGAAGTGCAGCTTCATTGAGAGCTTGAAATGGCGTATCAGTAGTGGTGGTAGTAGTTGATGATGATTTTTCCAAAAGTCTTGTTGATTTTTCTTTGTCAATTTTTGGTCTTGGCCGAATTGGCCTAACACCAGTGTTACTTTTGACTGGTGCTAATGTTACAAGATTATTTTCCACAACATTTGCTTTTAATGTGGCATTATAAACTTTTCTCTTTGCATCCAATGTTGTTGTTGAACTTTCATTAACAGCAGCGAACCATAATGATGGCTCTTCAATAGTTCCCACTGATGATGATGTTGATGATAATTTTCCAGGAACATGTTTCATTGTATTTATTTCGACGAAGGTTGAATTTCTTGAATTTAACCATTTTTTTGTTGTTGAATCATGATCAGTTTTTGAAGGTGAAAAATTTGATCTCAATGATTCTGATGAAATTTCCAATTGTGGAAAATCAGTACTGGTATTGAGAGACTCTTTTGAAATAGGAGTTTCAACTTTTGTGATTTCTTCAGTTAGATTCATGGTTTCTGTTGATTTTTCAATTTCTTCGGATTCTAATGATAATTCAATTTTGGAGGAATTTGACAAATGGAAGTGACTACTGTTGTCAGTATCAGTGTCCTTAACGTGGGTTTCAAATTCGACGATTCTTTCTAAATTAGATGGAGATTGATTTTGCTTTTTTTGTGAAGAACTGGGAACACGAGGATTGCCATTGACAATATGTTTGGAATCGGTTTTATCATCGTTTCTCTCAAATTGAACGGCAGTTATTGTGGCGACTCCGGTTTGAAGATGTTTTTCCGTATCGTGCTTCTTTGGATTATCAATTATGGGATGTGGAATAATTTCATCATCTTCCCAAACGGAGGCAATTTTATCAACTGGAATTGTGTGTCTAAAAGGTTTAAGAGTTCCTGAATGTTCAACCAAACTGGGTCTAGCACCACCGTTTAAATCGGGTGTTCGATAACTCGTGTAAATTGGTTGCTGAATAATATGATCGGGTCTCTTGAGACTTGTGTCATCAGTGATTGCTGATATTTCGGAAAATCGATTTCTACTCTCTAGATCAATTTCTAAATCAGATACTGGTTCGGCAACACCAATACCGGAAATTTGTAGGGGCATTTCATCGAAATAGGGTTTTTCATTTGTGAGAAGTGTTGGCAATTCAGATGTTTCAAAATCAATTGTTGTAGCAGGTCTGGTACTCGAAAAATTAGAATCATCCAATCGACTCACTGGTTTACGGTCAAATGACACTGTTGATGTTTGAGAATTTATTTGAGTTATTATGTCCAAATGACTTTTTTCAATATCCTTTGATGATTCCGGTGATGTTTTCAATCTTAATTCAAATGTATCGGGAGGTAATTGACCGGAAATTTCAATATCAGGCCGCCGAACATGATCTTCGGAGTTGTGGGTAAAATTATTTTTGACTTTTGATTCCTCATCGGGAACAATTCGATCGTGTGGAAAATCTGTTTCCTCTGCGTCAAATGTATTCATTCCAGGTGGATTAACTGGTCGTGTGATTTGTGATTGATTTAAAAATAAATCTGGTGGCTTTACTTCGGATATTGGAGTACCCAATATTAATTCTTCGTCGCGTATTAATTCTTTATCTCTGACAGGTTGAACAAAAGGATGTGTGATTTTTGTTGGATTTGGATTAAAATGCGCTTCATTGCGTTCGGTTAAAGGTTTCAAATCGGTATTGATAAAAGTTGGAATTATTGGTTTCCAGGGTGATGTTTCAAAATCAGGTTTCACAAAATCTTTATGTAGCTCGTCATTAATTTTTGTCGTACTTGAAATTGTGGATTTTGTTGAAATTTCCGTTTTTGTTATTGAACTTTCAGAAGTTGTTTGATCGGATTTTGTTGTTTCTGATGTTGTTTTTGGAGTTGTGAAAGAAGTTTCTGTTTCTTTGGTAGTAGTTATTTTGACTGTTGAACTATTTTGAAATGGATTGAGTTTAGTGGCTTTATAGGTTCCCTGAATTGTTGGAACATTATTGAAATCAATTTCCGGTTCACTTGATTCAAATTTGGTTGGTCTTGTTTTAAGTTTGGAATTAGTGAGAAGGGAACTATTTTTATTGGGTCGCAAAATTCCATTCTTGGTGATCATGGCGTTTCTCTGCTGACTTGTTAGACTTGATCTTTGACCGGAAGTTGTATCTGAATTTATTCCTGAATAATTAAATTAATCTTTAGAAACTATTAAGTGTTAAAAATTAATTTTTTAATTTTAAACAATAAAAGTAGGAGTAAAAAAAATTATTACGTACTCTTCACGGAAACACTGGTTAAATCGAGTTCCATGTCTTTGAAAACTGATGTAATTGAATAAGTTTCTTTAACAATAATTTCCTCTATAGTATCTTCTAAATTTGCAATAGACCTTGGTACCTTCCTTCTATCAAGATAGAGTCTAAAGAAGACTTTCAAGGTTTCATTTTCGAATCTGTCGATAAATGCCTGTTTGTAGGAGGGGCCCAAGATACTTCTTCTAAAGAGATGTTCAACCTTAAACGAAAAAAAACAAGATATTCGCATTTAATTCATATTTTATTTTAATTAAGAATTTTTTTCCGATTCTGTTATGAGTCGATGATGAACTTACAATATTTTTATATTTACGTTCCTTATCTCTGAATACCATACTGGTATTAAGCTTTAACATTGGATTATATTTTTCCCCCTTTACTATCCTGAAGCTACAGAAAAAACCTATGATGGCTGTAAAAAGAAATAAGAGAATTTTGAATTATTTTGAAATTCTCATTTTAAATTAAGAAAAAAATAAATTTTAATTAAATGAACAATAAATACATACCTGTTTTTGAATCTGTTCTAAGAGCTGAAACAAATATTTTATTTAAATTTTTTTGTTTGTTTCTAGAGCAGAAAAATAAAATAATTTGAGAAAATTTTATTTTTAATTTTATTCTATAGAGAATTTATTGCCAAAAAAAGTTTTTACTATTTTTCTGATAATAAAGTAGAGCAAACAAAAGTTTTTTGAAAATATTTTATAAATTGTGAAATTTTGATTTGATTAAGATTAGTAGTATAACGAACCTCCCATCCATAAAGCTAAACCTCCTATTGCTAAGACTGCCATTAAAACTAGCATAGCTATAATAATTAGCATAGTACTGCCAAATTTCCATGAAGAATCGGCTTGTTTCTTCTTTGAAGTTTGTGGGGGTACTCTCGACCATGCTGAACGGGGCGGAAGAAAATAATCGCTCTGCAATCAGAAAAATTTTGTTTTTTTTTTAAATTTAATTTAATCTAAATTTATATTTTATAAATTTTGAAATAATTATTAAAATTTTTGTTTTATTTATCAAAACATGAAGAACCAACTATAAAAAGTAGTAATTACAAAAATATACTCATTATATACGTTTGTCTATTAGTACCTGCTCAGAAACATTTTAACGTGACTAAACGAATAGATTTTTGAAAGGAAGATGATTGAAAATTGTAGTTTTTTTAATTACGCGAGCGTTTCTAATGAACATGCGTGTACTTTTCGGTGGTCTCTGATGGGTAGGGTGTATGGTAATATTGATAACGGTACCACACAAGGAATGTATTATAAAAGAACAAGAATTTTCAAAGTGTTGGGTCAGCTGTGAATACTCGTTCTGAACGACCTCACAGAAATTTTATAAAATTTCGCTTAGCGGTACATTTAACCAACTGACATGCAATATAAGAGTTGCTCTCTTGCGACTAGTCATGAACCTTTATAATACACTTATATAAAGGCAAAGAAACAATATATAAGTAGAGAATATAACAATAGTTGTATATTTTTGTATTATATTTGCCATTCTTCTCTAGATTCCAACAATCCATTTTTTTTCTCAATCGAAAAGTATTTAATTATGTATAAATAATTTTCATCCTTATAATTATTGAAACGCTTTGAATTGCGCTACTGTAAAAAGAAGAATTTGCAAATTCCACAGAGTTACATTAAAAATCAAGCACAAATTTTATGATTGAGTAATGAACGATAATAGTTCTCGTAACAAAAGCCAAACTATCACTCGTGAAGCGCAAATATGCAAAGAGTTTAAAAAAAAGCTTTTCAAGAACAAAAAAAAAAAAATTCAAAAGAATAAAACTCTAAGTATTGAATGTGTTCCTTGATTGTTTTTACGACTTAAGAAGAAAGAATTTTAAGTATCTGTATGTAGACATGAATGTAACAACAAAGTAAGTCACTGTCGGGTTTTATTGTTCAACTTTTTTTTTATGCTATAAAATTTAAAAGAAGCGATGGAAAAAATGTGATACAATATAACAGTATTTTTTCAAAAATATTTTCAATCCACTGTAATTTTAGTTATATCGCCGGTTTTAAGCGATCAATGCGAAATTTTCTCTTTCGATGCGTAATAACTTTTGCTGGGTTATTATTATATGTTCTTTGAAAAATATGAAAAAGTTAGAAAAAATTGCACAATATAATATTTACAATTTTTTTTTTTAGTTCATGTCGGGAGTAATCCAATATGCAGCAATCGTTCTAATCTGGGATTCAGCGATCGGTGAGTGGTTTTTCATTTAACTTCTTTCTCTGTTTAAGACAGTTCAATATATGAATTGATTTTTTTCATTTCAAATTAATTATGGTAAAATAAATTTTTTTTGAAAATGAATTTGTATATATAGGTATATATTTGCATCAGGTGCATTCAATAAAAATGTTCATTACTACACGAAAAAAAAATTTATTGGATTCAAATAATCATTTACACGGAGAAAAATGGGATTGTGTTGCAAACAATTTTTGCATTGTTGTCAGTAGGTTTGTTGATATTACAATTCGAAATGTTAATATTACAATTCGGATTGTTGTTTCTGTCGATTGCTGATGGAACAATCCGGATTTGTTCAGCTGACAGGTTTATTGTTCCATGTCACGTGGTCATCTTGAATTCTCGCAAACTGGCGTGCAGATCGTCGCGTCGTTTGCTGCTGGCACATGTGCCACTTTTGCTTTTATTATTAGTTTTTTTTTAAAATGACAAAGTGCTGTTAAATAATGAATCCGGTTAAAGTGAGAAATCTATTGCAAGTGCAATGAATGGATGAAGAGACAATTTCATCGTTTATCGGTAAGTTATACTCGGTTACTATTGTACATAACCTCATCTTAAAAAATACAAAATTTATATTAAATATTATTTAACAACAAATTTCAACTCAAAATAATTTTTTGGTTTCAAGTCAAAGAATTTGTTTCAGAAGCTGCATGTTCCAAAGATTTTAATGCAAATGAAACTGGTGACATGACCTACGGAAATATTCTATCTATTATTTTAGAAGGCGAAGAAACTGAACAAATTGTATTAGACGGATCAAAGCTTTGTTAATACAACAAATTGTATTGCCGATTTAACAATTTAGTTTTGTTATTTCAACTGTTCCATAACAATTTTCTTTGTTCATCAAACAATTCTGTTTGTTCACCGAACAATCCGAATAGTTTTAATAAAAATCCCATTTTAACAATTTTTTTTTGTCCCAAAATTAATAGAACTGCTGGTTCTATATTGACAATCTGGAATTGTTGTGTGAACTTAATTTTTAGTAACCACAACAATTCCGTTTTCTCCCTGTACTTAACTATTATTAAATAACACAGCCACACAAAAAAAAGTACCCGGGCCGGGGAATGAGACCACCATTTCTTGATGTATTTTGATGCGCTGAACACGAATCTGAAGTCCGTTTAGCTCCATCACGTCAGGATTTTGACATAACCTCAAAAAACATAGCTGATTTTAAATAACAGGACAAATTTTTTAAATAATGGCAGATTTGCTTGAATCTTGTTACTCGGGGGTTTTTGGGGTCGTTGATTACGAATTTAACGTCAGATTTATAAAATTCACAATGGCGGATCCAATATGGCGGACGAATTTTTAAAAAGTAGTTGGATTTTTACGAAAATTGGTATCTAGGGGTTTTGGGAGTCGCTGATTACAAATTTATCGTCAGATTATTCAAATTCAAAATGGCGGATCCAATATGGCGGACGAGTTTTTAAAAAATAGTTGAATTTTTATGTTGTGCCTGGGTGCAGACACATGTAGAAACTTAAAGATATTTGACCACCGTACTATATCCGCCATATTGAATTTGAATAATCTGACGTTAAATTCGTAATCAGCGACTCCAAAAAAACCCCATGATACCAATTTTTGTAAAAATCCAACTACTTTTTAAAAATTTATCCGCCATATTGAATTTGAATAATCTGACGTTAAATTCGTAATCAGCGACTCCAAAAAAACCCTATGATACCAATTTTTGTAAAAATCCAACTACTTTTTAAAAATTTATCCGCCATATTGAATTTGAATAATCTGACGTTAAATTCGTAATCAGCGACTCCAAAAAAACCGCATGATACCAATTTTTGTAAAAATCCAACTACTTTTTAAAAATTTGTCCGCCATATTGAATTTGAATAATCTGACGATAAATTTATAATCAGCAACTCCCAAAACCCCTAGATACCAATTTTCGTAAAAATCCAACTACTTTTTAAAAAATCGTCCGCCATATTGGATCCGCCATTTTGAATTTTATAAATCTGACGTTAAATTTGTAATCAGCGACCCCAAAAACCCCCGAGTAACAAGATTCAAGCAAATCTGCCATTATTTAAAAAATTTCACCTGTCATTTAAAATCAGCTATGTTTTTTGAAGTTATGTCAAAATCCTGTCGTGATGGAGCTAAACGGACTTCAGATTCGTGTTCAGCGCATCAAAATACATCAAGAAATGGTGGTCTCATTCTCAATTCATGTTACTCGGGGGTTTTTGGGGTCGCTGATTACAAATTTAACGTCAGATTTATAAAATTCAAAATGGCGGATCCAATATGGCGGACGATTTTTTAAAAAGTAGTTGGATTTTTACGAAAATTGGTATCTAGGGGTTTTGGGAGTTGCTGATTATAAATTTATCGTCAGATTATTCAAATTCAATATGGCGGACAAATTTTTAAAAAGTAGTTGGATTTTTACAAAAATTGGTATCATGCGGTTTTTTTGGAGTCGCTGATTACGAATTTAACGTCAGATTATTCAAATTCAATATGGCGGATAAATTTTTAAAAAGTAGTTGGATTTTTACAAAAATTGGTATCATAGGGTTTTTTTGGAGTCGCTGATTACGAATTTAACGTCAGATTATTCAAATTCAATATGGCGGATAAATTTTTAAAAAGTAGTTGGATTTTTACAAAAATTGGTATCATGGGGTTTTTTTGGAGTCGCTGATTACGAATTTAACGTCAGATTATTCAAATTCAATATGGCGGATATAGTACGGTGGTCAAATATCTTTAAGTTTCTACATGTGTCTGCACCCAGGCACAACATAAAAATTCAACTATTTTTTAAAAACTCGTCCGCCATATTGGATCCGCCATTTTGAATTTGAATAATCTGACGATAAATTTGTAATCAGCGACTCCCAAAACCCCTAGATACCAATTTTCGTAAAAATCCAACTACTTTTTAAAAATTCGTCCGCCATATTGGATCCGCCATTGTGAATTTTATAAATCTGACGTTAAATTCGTAATCAACGACCCCAAAAACCCCCGAGTAACAAGATTCAAGCAAATCTGCCATTATTTAAAAAATTTGTCCTGTTATTTAAAATCAGCTATGTTTTTTGAGGTTATGTCAAAATCCTGACGTGATGGAGCTAAACGGACTTCAGATTCGTGTTCAGCGCATCAAAATACATCAAGAAATGGTGGTCCCATTCCCCGGCCCGGGTACTTTTTTTTGTGTGGCTGTGTAATTATTATTTGTATCAATTAAATGGTATTTGTTTCAAATACAAAAATAATTAGTTCAAATACAGTCTATTTGATAATAGTCAAGTAACCGATTATATATGAATAAATAAAATTATTTTCTATGTAGTAACTTTGATCAAATGATGAATTCAATAAAACTCAACATTAATATTGCGACGATAGATTCAGCTGCAATAGTAATTTTAAATAACTTTATTTTTGAATGGTTTTGTTGACTATAATTATATATGTATTTTTTGAAATTAAGAATAGCAATTCAAAGCAGGAAGCTATATTGATATTTAAAAATTCCTTTTAACACGATTGAAAAACAAAAATTCCAATCCAACATGTGATCCATTAAATTATTAATTTTGTATATCTTATCTAAATGCGAATCTTGTGAAAATATTTAAAAGTACCAACATATTTATATAATCGGAACAAAATAAATAAAATCGTGCTCGAGATTAGATTGAAAGTATATTATAGTTGATGAGGTATTTTGTATTCAATGGAGCAACCAGTTCTAGCCGCAAATGACCTGATATACACTTGTGAAGACATGCGACTATAAGCGACTTCGAGGAATTCTTCGCGTACTCTGTAATGTTGTAAATGAAGACTCTTGTAGTCCTCGACTCTGATCACGTAAAGGACAAAAGTTAATTCACAATGTTTTGCACATGAAGGACGAACATATTCAGGCTTTGAGTTCATTCTCAAAGAGAGAGAGAGAGAGAGAGAGAGAGAGAGAGAGAGAGAGAGAGAGAGAGAGAGAGAGAGAGAAAGAGTCACGCGAAAAAAACTGACAATATTATAGACGCGAGCATTTGCAGTTCCATTGGCAATACGATTGACACTCTTTTTCATGACCCTGGGAATAAATCTAGAAAAAGGGTTGGTCATTTTTCTATTCACAATTGCGTACATTTATTTTAAAATAATATGGATGTTACTTGTTTTATTAATGGGGCGCATAAATATTTTCCAAGTTATAATTTATTTCACCAAATTTTCATTGAAACAAATTTCAATTTAACCGAACTCGTAATTACTTAAAAATTTGAGGCGCCATATTTGGGACTAAATCTCAGATGTTTGAATTATTAAAACATCGAATTATTAAAAGTTCAAATAACCATTTGATTAAATTTTAAAAAAGTCGAATTACCAAAAGATCTAAATTTATATAAAAGGATTGAATTTTTAAAAATTCGAATGTTGAGATATTAATTTTCAAGAAAAAAAATTTTAAACCTGCAAAATTTATTTATTTATACAATTTGCATAGGACAACATTTTTTTGTTGTATCGCTTCTACAGAATTTTTTAAAAATGATTCGATTTCAATGAAATATGGCTTATTTTCTTCGGAAAATGATTCTCTACAACTTCACCGTGGGATTTTTTAAACAAGCAAGCCGTTTGGAAAATATGGCTATTTGTTTAAAAAATTCAAATTTTTCTTTTAAACAAATAGCCATATTTTCCAAACGGCTTGCTTGTTTAAAAAATCCCACGGTGAAGTTGTAGAGAATCATTTTCCGAAGAAAATAAGCCATATTTCATTGAAATCGAATCATTTTTAAAAAATTCTGTAGAAGCGATACAACAAAAAAATGTTATCCTATGCAAATTGTATAAATAAATAAATTTTGCAAGTTTTAAATTTTTTTCTTGAAAATTAATATCTCATCTTTCAGAAAGTACAATTAATAATA